TCACACTCCCCACAGCTTCAACCCGTCAGGGGCTTCCGGCCCGCCCCTGCCCCTGCGCCCGCCCCCCACACACGTATGATCTCATCCGGGCCAACACGCCCTTCCGTGCCAGGCAGAGCCCGTCTCCACGTGACAGCAACCCAAAGGAGAGCTCCAAGGCCTGCAGCGAGGGGGCTGAGGTCACGTCCAGTGTGCCAGGCCGAGGGCCCCAAAGCTCCCCACGCCTGGGGGGGGGGGGGGGCTGTGTGACACCCTTCCCCGGAGCGTGGGCGGGACAGACGCTGGGACGTCACGGCCATGGTCAGGTTCCCGTGACCATGGCGACAGGACAAAGCTGAGAGGGTTCCCAGGAGGAGTTAGAACCCTGACCAGTTGGCCTTGAATGAATGGAAACGGGCCTGGCCGAACGGGGCACCCTTTCCCAGGGGCCCGTGCAGCCTGAGCACAGACCGGGTGCGGGGGAAGCTGTCCCCGGCCTTGACGAGCCAGCTGCCGGGTTTCCCATCTGCAAGGAGAGGAGTCCGGCCAACAACCACGTGAGCCCGAAGGGGCCGGCCTGGGCCAGCCCTCTGCCCGGCGGCACCTTCTGAAGCCTGGACGGCCCGGCAGGGCGGCCTCCGGCCCCAGGAGCCGGGGACGGGCTGTGCTGAGCCGCACACTGTGGGACCGGGCTCCACAGCAGCACAGAGCACACACAGGGGCCGGCCACGCCTCCCGGCCCCGGGCCCCCAAGCTGGGGACCTGCCCCACCCCCTCCGGCCACAGGGCACCCCCAGCCCAGTGCCCCTTCCTGGCAGTAAGCTGAACATCAAACTACGCTGCTTTTATCCAACTGTTTTCTTATCTTAAAACAAACTCTGAAACACACCAAAACCTGCTTCTCGACTGGGTTATCACCACCAGCATGGTCTAAGGGCTTTCTTGTAGCAGAAAGAGGACGGACCCTCTTCCCTCCATTGCCCAGGCCGGGGCAGCCACCGCGTGGCCACGGCCACGGCCACGGCCACGGCCACGGCTCTTGCCCAGCCCAGACGCCGGGCCGGGGGAAGCCGGGCCTGGAAAACACCTGACCAAACACCCACAAAGGCAGCCCAGCCCTGCCCGCCGTAGATGCCCTGGATTTACAGCCTCCAACCACACGGAGCTCCCAGCACCGAGATTTATCGCCTCTTAAATGGGGCCTCGTTTTGGTAATATCTCGCACCGGACCCCAAAGGATCTCAAATGCCTGCGACCCTTTGCGGGACCCGCGCCGTAACTCATAACGAGGTAATCAAACCCGGGCCGCAGGCCGTGGCCACACTCGGGGGTCGGCCTCCTCTCCAGAAAAGAGCCGGCGGCGGCCCCTTTAAGAGTGCAGGCGCGGTCCTCAGACCCAGACCTCAGGGGGCCCACAGGGAGCTCTGTGTGCCAGGCAGTCAGACGTTAGCGCTGGACAGCACGTCCTCTTCCCGCCGCGTCCTGAGAGCCCAGGGGACCGGCCGCTGAGATTGGAAGAGCCTGGTCAGTAGCCCACGCCTCTCTCCTCCCACCCCCCGGCCTCCCTCCTCCCAGACCCAGCCTCTCTCCTCCCACCCTGGCCTCCATCCTCCCACCCCCGGCCTCCCTCCTCCTGGCCCTCACCTCCCTCCTCCCACTCCCGGCCTTCCTCCTCCCTTCTTCCCTCCTCCCAGGCCAAGGCCTCCCTCCTCCCACTCCATGGCCTCCCTCCTCCCTCCCTCCCTCCTCCCAGGCCAAGGCCTCCCTCCTCCCACTCCAGGGCCGCCCTCCTCCCACTCCATGGCCTCCATCCTCCCACTCCAGGTCTCCCTCCTCCCTCCCTTCCTCCTCCCAGGCCAAGGCCTCCCTCCTCCCACTCCAGGGTCTCCCTCCTCCCACTCCAGGGTCTCCCTCCTCCCAGCCCACGGCCTCCTCCCAGGCCCTGTGGCTGTGAGCTCAGTGAGACCCTGCCTCCCCCTCGTCCTCTGTGGCTGCACCCCGGGGCCACTCTCAGAAGCGCAGATGCCGCCCCCTGAGATCCTGACTTGTTGTTACTAACTCCGATCCTCTGGTCTGTCCGTCCCCATCATACATCCCGGGTGTAAAGCTACAGTGCCATGCAGCTGCTCCCAGAATGTGTTTACACCCACACGGAAATGGTAAATGTGGGTTAAGACGCGCCCGTTAATTTTGAGGATTTACAGCGATCGATCTCCTTATAGAATTCCTCCAGCTTCGGGGACTCCATGACGTGGGCAGATGACAGAGCCGCATCCTCGGGGCCTCCCCGGACCCGCTGTCCCAAGAATCCCGAGGTCTGATGAAGAGGCCGCAAATGTCCACGGCACCCCAGACCAGCGGCCACAGTGAGAACAGAACTCCTACTCACCCCTCAAAACCTTTCAGCAAACACCCCCTTGCCCCTCCCACCTCTTCCTCCTGGGCTGGGTCCGCCCCTCACTGGACTGAGATTATGTGCATAGTTGTCCCCACCATCTCAGGAGCCCGCGTGCCCGGCCTGCAGCCCTGCACCGCGGTGCTCACTCTGACCCCGAGAGTCGGGGCACCGCCTCCGATGCAAGTGGCGGGCGTGATGAGAAGAGCAGGTGCTCGCCGCTCCCTCCGTTAGCTGAGCTTGGCCACACCACACCCCCCGTGCCCCACCGCACTGGACTGCATGGCCCTGTCCTAGTCCCTAAGCCTGTCCTAGCTACTGTCTGTCTGTCTGTCTGCCTGCCTGCCTGCCCGCTGGCCTGGAAGCTGCCACGTACCGCAGACCTGTCCATCCGATTGGCTACCAGAGGGGCCCCCACAGCGGGCGCGGGATGGTGCTTGCGGGTGAAGGTGCACACACATCGAGCAAAGGGCAAGAACATGGCCTTGGCCTCTAGGAGTTTCGTCCCGAGAGTCGAGGTTCACACCTCTTACCTCTGCATTCCCAAGTTCAGTTCCCGTGGCGATGAGGGGTGGACCCCGAGAGCCGCTCCCTCCTGGGGAGACGGAGGGGCCCGGAGCCTGGCTGGAGGCCCCTCCCGGCCTCCCCGAGGCGCGGTGCAGGAGGGCCGGCGCAGTGGCCCAGGGCGTCTGGGAGGCCAGAGGCCTAGAAACGCGCAGGCACCTCCTCGTTGTCAACAAAACTGGCGGGAGCGGGTTTTCGCTCTAGAAAGCCAGCGCTGTTTATAAACATGCCGCCCGCTGGGATTCTGCCGGCAGGAGGACTGACCCAGCCCTTTCCCCAGAAGAGGTAAAGAGCGAAAACAGCTAACCGCCAACAAACCCCCGGCGGCTTCAGGCCCTCAGAACGTGAAGCTCAACACGCTTCCCACAGAGCGCCTCTCCCGCCGTGTCCGCCTCTGCTGCCGGCTCCCGCGGGAGAAGGCGGGCCCCATCGCCCCTCCTCGAGGGCTCCCGTGGGTCCCGCAGGCGGAGGGTCCTCACGGAGGCCGGGCCCCTCGGCGGGTGGCGCACAGGCCCGGGCACTGTTTGGAGCGGCTGCAGAGTGCCATCTGCCTCGCAGAGCCTCGCCCGCCCGCCCGCCCACAAGCCCCTGGGAAGGAGGCATCTGCGCCCCTGGGCCAGGGGGCTCCGGGTGCAGACGAGGCGGCAGGGCGGACAGAGACTTGGGAACCAGAGAGGAACACACACAGGGTGTCCTCCCGGGGACACAGCCACCCACCTCGGGGCTATGGCCTTACTTCCCCACCAGGACCCACTCGGTGCAGCTGCCTGACCCGCCCGCGCGTGCTGAGGCCTCACACCCACGAGGGCACAGGGACCCGGAGTCCTGGCTGCGAGCTGCCCGGTCGTCCAAGCAGAAAGGTGGGCTGGAACAATGGTCGGCAAACTCATCAGTCCACAGAGCCAAATATCGACAGGACGATTGAAATGTCTTTTGAGAAACAAAATTTTTAAACTTAAACTCCTTCTAACGCCACTTCTTCAAAAGAGACTCGTCCAGGCCGTGGTGTTTTGTGGAAGAGCCACACTCAAGGGGCCAAAGAGCCACACGGCGGTTTGCCGACCACGGGGCTAGATCCTGTGGCCCTCACCCCTCTTCAGGCAAAGCCGCTCCCCCTCCCGGCATTGCCCTCTGAGGCCAGGAAGCCACCCTGCGCCTGGGACTGGCACAAGCCTGTCCAGTGCAAATGGGGCAGGAAGCAGAGCTCTCCCCTCCCTCCCTCGCTAGAATCCCTCCTCCCGCCCCATCACCCCCTCCCATTCTGCAGGGCCCAGCAGAGGGCAGCCCCACCCTCTGGGACCCGGACTCGGCGGTGCTTCAGGAGGACGGCCCTGTGCCTCCCAGCAGCCGAGGGCCCGGCCGGGCTGTGTGCCATTGTTGCAGGGTCGTGTGGCAGGAAGGCCGTGGCTGAGGCCTGGCCCGAATCATCCAGCGGACTCTGGGCAGCAGTACCCTCCCCCCCCCCCCCCCCCCCCCGCCTCCCCACACCCTGCCTACACACCCCACAGGCACGTAGCGCTCAGCAGATTCCTCAGGCCCGAAACACGTCCTTTTTCTCCTTTGGTGAGCGACGTGAGGGAGGGAAAGGAAGGGACCACTTAAACTCTTGAAGGAAAACGAAGACTCTGCTAAGGAACTCACACTTACCAGCTGGCTCCCACAGCCAAGCCCTCCACTAGCGCTCAGGCGACTGGGGCTGCCTGAGGCGGCCAGAGCCCGGACGGCCCAGTTCTTTCTGAACCGACAACCAGGAAGGCCCACGATGCGGAAGCGGGTCCCAGAAGCCAGCCCTCTTCAGGGACGCTCAGGGCCCCCATCAGAGCCGGGCCCTGGGCCCAGAGGCCACTGCGGCCCGTTTCAGAAAAACACCCGGGATCACCTAACTCGTGGAAAAGAGATGTCCCTACAGAAGCCACGAGCAGAGGGAAGCAGAGCTTGGTAAACAGAACGTCATCCTGTTGGAGCAGCGTTTCCTCTGACCGCGGCACTGAACGTCAGACACCATGTCTGCTGCAGCTACCTGAGCCGATCACATCGAGAAAAGAAAAAGATGAAGGCCACGCAGTGAACAGACCATAACTTTATTGGAGATTTACTCGGCTACAATTGTTACAAAAAGACAGGCTGGGAGGTAATGTGGCCGTGAGCGCAGACGGCAGCCTTCTGCGATGACTGTGAGCAGTTCCGCCTCGTTCCTTACAAACAGCTGCAGCGGCGGGGTGGTCACGACTTTATTGTCAAAGCACACGCGAGTCTGACTTGATTTTAGTCCCTTTCCTGCACATGCTGACCAGACACGCCAGCGATGTCACTCCTGTTCGCCTTCGCAGTTCTGCTGTGACCCACCGGCTGCCGCAGGGAATTCTGCGCGCACCTACAGAACTTAAGCCGCCTGGTTGATGTCCAAATAAAAACGGACTAGAAAAAAAGCAGTTAATGATTAAAATATATTTACAAGTCAGTTTCGCGAGACCATTTGCACTGCTGGTGGAAAACACGGAGTCTCAACGCAAGCTCCCTAGACATCGCTCCTGGCCAGCGTCTCCAACTCTTAAGATCATTTTAACATCTCGGTCTTCCATGTGTCTTAAAAACATTTCATGTGCAATATAAAACAAAGGAATTCATTTGGAAACAATTAAACTCCCGAAAAGTAATCAGTGGTTGAGAAACACACCTACTTAAATGTCACTAACATAACCGTCTAGGTGATAACGCAGCGCGCGCCTCTCCTCCGCAGCCAGAGCTGGTTAAGGACTCGACATAATTCCAGACGCAGCTTAAACACACACTCCGAGGTCTCAGTCTGGTGGGTTACACTCTGAGTGAGAGTGAGATCCCCTCACAGAGAGATGTAAAGTTTACAGCCCTGGCCCGCGACTGAAGGCGGTGGGTCTGAGCTGGATTCCTCTGCCGGCCGCAGCCCCGCTGGCTCCCGGGCCCCCTGAAGGGCTGGCTGCCCGGGGCGGCCGGGTTATGAACTGACCTAGCAGAACCCAAGGAGCCCACGTCTCTTGCGATGTAGGCCGGGTGATCTGAATCTCTCTGAGAGCAAGCTACTAAGAAAATAAAAGATTAGTATGTTCAAAAATAAGAAGTACAGGAGTGTTAGAGGTCATCCTACATTTAATCACATCACAAAATATAAAGGGGAAAAGTAACAAACATTTTAAACATAAGTAAGAGTTCAGTTAACAAATCTTTGTCATACTTTCACAAACAGTAAAATGCCACAGACGAGAGTGATCCATTGAAGTTGTGCAAGTATACATGACACACTGCAGGCATCAGAACTATCTCTTTCAAATGCGGCAAATCAAAACAGCAGCAAGGCCAAACCACATTTTGCTCTCGGTTAAGCATATTTCCTTGAAATGAGGTAAAGCATGGTACCAAGTGCAATGCTCTCTGTGCTCATGCGGGCGGGTACAAGCGCAGCGGAGTGAGGGCGGTGGAGGTACGCATGACGTTACAGACGTTTACAATGAGGTCCGGCCCACTGCCTCCCCAGCGCCCGCTGCCTCCGCCTCCCGCCGCCATCACAGGACGGCGGGGGGGTGGCACACGCAGTGGGACGGGGGGCGGGCAAAGCAAAGGATCTTTTTCCTTAATTAACAGCGGGAGACATTTCCACAAGCTCAGCGGGGGCCGTGACACACTGGATCAGCAGCACAGAGCGTTCATCACCATCTCACACGCCGAACGCATAGCTTTCCTTTCCTGACGGAGCAGCAGGGGTCAGACTGCTTCCAAGTGGAGTCACCAATTACAATCAGCTCATTTTCTCCAGCAAAAAACAACAAAAACAGAAAGAGCCCAAGTTTGCTGTTGGTCAAACATTTTGAATGGTAGCGGGAAGTCTGAACCCCTGAGAATGTATGACCTAATCATATCCAAGCCTGAACTTATAAAGTATTAACAAAAAATACTCTTCTTAAGGTTACAAAATACATTGAGGCCTTTCCCCCAGCGGGAACTGTAACTGTGAGACAGCCGTGCGCTGGATCAGCCGGAGGCCCACACAGCCCTTGGCGCCCAGAGGCAGGAGGCCGCTGCGCTATTCGCTATTCGGAGATTTGCGACGTGCCTTCACCACAAGGCCTCCGCAAGTACAATCACACCGGCCTTCTTGTTCACGGACACAGTTACAGTTCCGTAATTCAACAAACGCTTGGTTTTAACTCGCCAGGAGACCTTATGTTATGATTTTTAAAAAGCGAAACAGAAATCTAAGGTTCCAAATCAGAATTCCATATTTTGAAAATGAGGCCACCCAAATTAATTTGTTCAGAAACGCAGTTAATCACCTGGATCCATCCCAATGTCAGACGGGGGACAAGTAAGGCCGGGGCACAAGTGGGGTCTCTCAAGGCCTCCTGCAAGCGAAGCAGCAGCCTCTGGCAGACACGTCAGAGCACTGCTGGGGGGGGGGGGGGGGGCAGACAGCGGGAGGTACAGTATTCAACTGCAATTTACACAGAAATGCAGCACTGCGAGAAGATCAAGTTCAGAACGACGTGCTGGGGAACATCAGCCACCTCCGCTCAGCTTTCTTAACCTTCAAGCATAATTAATGGGCGAATTGCAGCAAGCCTCCACTGGTAGCCGGTGGGAGGCAAGACCAGCCCACAGCTCGTGTAAAGGTAAATTAAGAGGTATTACAGGTACAGTGCAAAAAAATTAAAACTTCAAGCATAATACATAAACATAGCACCAAACAGGGGACGCATGCAGAAGAAAGGAGAACTGAGGTATTTAGGTGGAGAGTGCTATGGGTCTAATTACAGAGACTCAGGCGAACGCCTAACACGTCTTTTCTGTTCCTTTTCTGGAGAGGGCAGTAATGCGCTAGGAGCCCTACACGAACAAGCTCAGTCTGGGATGCATCACAACGCGGCAGTCTGTCTCGCTCCCACTCCCACAGCCGGCACAGCTTTGGTAATGGCACACGCAGCATGGCAGACAGTGCAGAGACACTCACGGGAGAAGGCGGAGGGGGAAGGTGCTGGGTGACCAATGAGTTATAAAATCTGCAGCATATTTTAGGTGTGATATGTCTAAAGTTTATTCTGTTAGAGAAACAGCCTACGGGGCAAAATTATTTGCCACAAGCAATTCCTATCAGTGGAACTACCTAGCAGGAGGTGTGTTTGTTTTTTTCGTAAAACTGGGTATTTAGCCAAAGACCATTTTTATTATGGTGTTTTTTAAAAACCCAGTCTACAGATTCTGGTTTTTAAAATGTCTTTAGTACACATGTGCCAGAAATCCAAATCTCCTGTTTTAAGTTACAACTACACTAGTGGGCTGTGAATCCCACAGTCTCAGCATCTAATGCACAATAAAATGCAGGGAATGTAAGATCAGTTTGTTCCAAAACGATCAGAAATTAAAGAGTATCCATGAGGACATCACTTTTAAGGCAAGAACCTTAGTCTCACGTGGCACGAGAAAACCGACACTGGATTCACCAGCTTGCCAGCCAGTGCCATCAACACCTGTCCCTCACTCTGAGGTGCAGTAGTGCTGGGAACACCATCCTCACGCAGAGCGTGGGCACCGTCCTCTCGGCTCCCCAGTGCGGCTGGCAGTTCCGCAGACAGAGGGGCACCAGGGCTCGCGCATCACTCGAGGGACGTGTGAGTGCTCCGCTCCCTGGCCCCCTGACACTAAGCGAAGGTGAGGAAATTATACTGAGAACAAAACAAACCGTCATAATTGTTCTGAACGCTTGCTAAATGTCGTCATTAAAGCACTCTTGTGGTTTAAACAAAGCAGAAGTGAGGAAAGAAGACAAGATTGTGTTTGCGCAAAAAACTAAAACTACAATTAGTTCCAAAATCTTTATACATATGTTAAAATGTTTTATTCTGTAATCTATCCTGTTATCAAACAAACTTTAAATTCTGCCTTCGATTCATTCCGCTCAGTATCAACTTTAAATCATCCTTTTCAATCTAAATATTTTCTACCTTATTCTGCTTTTTTTGTGTTTTAGTTTTAAAAAGGGGCTTCAGCTGCTGGGAACCTGAGGTTGGTTGGCTTTGAGGCTGCGGAGGGCTCTCCTTGCCGCCGCGGACTTGGCGATCCTGTAGCTGCGGCCCACGCCTTTGAACTTGCCCTTCCCCACCACCTCCACGGTCACTCTGACCTTGCCGTCGTACGTCCTCTCCGCCGGGCTGTGAAGAGGCCAGACAGCGTGATTAGGAGGCAGAGTGTTTATTATGACTGTCAATCAGCTCAGAGTGAGCGCCGGCCGGGAGCCCGCCCAGGCGGACGCCCACGAGGGACCGTGCACGGCCGCCACGCGTGCGGCAGCGGCTGCCGGGGCTTCTAGCTCAGCGGCTCTTATGGAAACAGGAGAGAAGGCGATCAGACTCCGAGTGGAAACTGCGGAGAGCGCGCCCCAGTGTGAATACTTTTCGGAACCGTTCATTTATGGCATCTTTGAGAACATCCCCCTGGGTTTGAACTAAGTTAATATTTTCCATGCACATTTTTGCTTACCTAAATTTGGCGGTTTCTGGTTCCATTTCCAGCAATTCTCGCACAGGGGAACGGGGCACATTTGCAGAAAATTTTTCTGTAATCAGAGTGAAAGAATAACGTAAATGATACCCTTGCCGCTGCTGTTGACTCTGATTCCAGGGTCTTCGGAGGGGAGCCAGTGTACCTATCAGCGGCCGCATCATCGGGTAGTACACCTGCCAAACCATCTCCAGCGACATCCCGCTGTCCATGTAAATGGCACCAGCAAGCGACTCGAAAATATCCCCCATGGCCTTGGGGACCTCAATGTCCTCCTCCTTCTCTTCGTCCTCCTCGGACCGCCTGAGCTGGTGAGAGAGAAGGGGCCTGTCAGGCTGCCCAGAGAAGGCTGCCTTTCCTGCGGGGACTCGCCCCGTCGCTAACCAAGGAAACGACACCCCTACCCCCCAGCCTCCTGGCACCGGCTCCTCACAAACAGTATCTGACCTAAAAAGGAAGTGTTCCAAATTTCTAAAAACAAAAATCCCCTCCCTTTTAATAGTCTATACCCAGCAAAGAAGAAAAGATATTTTTTCAATAAGAACTAAAATTTTAACACAAAATTAGAAGTCGTCAATAAATGAATGTATTTTTAAAACTTCACTCGTCATCAGAGAACGGCCCTCCGTGGGCGGTGCTGCCCAGCAGCTGCGGGGGGAGGGGCGGGGACAACGCGGGGCCAGCGGGGAGGACACGCTGTGAGGGACAGACGGCCGCTTCTGGGCAGGGGACCCCTGTTTGGAGATGTTTTCCTCCAAGCGCCTTTTATGAAACACGGAATATGTGTTCGCTGTGAAAGAGGGCCTGACACACAGCAGGCTGACGTCACAGAGTAAAAACGTGATATGCATCAAAAGCCTCTTAAAGGTTCGCAATTGTTGGACGCAGCAATCCCACCTCTGGGAATCCTACCTCCTGCCGAGAGGAGGAAGCTGGGCATGTGAGCGCATTCATCACGTCCACGCTTACTGAAGTCCTAACTAAAAGCAGCTTAAATGTTAGCTGCAAAGGACAGCTAAGTGGCTCCCTGACAGCCGTGTACGGACCAGCACGCAATCCTGGAGTCACCACCACACTCCGTGAAAAGAGGGATGGAAAATCACGCAAAACAGACCCCTTTATAGGCACGTTTACAACTGCATGCATTAGCAATGGCACACCCCAAAATGTTCATCTGGGTCATTTCTCAAGCTGTGTGTTTGTGAACTTTAACTTTGGTTTTGCTTGTGTTTTCTAAAATAAACATAAACTACTTGTGAAAGAGAAATTAAAAGGAGGGCACAGTAATTTCTGAACAGTTTTTAGTGAAACAAAATTTTATATACAAATTATAATACTGGCTACTGGAAAAATAAGACAGTTATTGTTCATATATGATTTGAGGAACAATCATATATGATTGTTCGTATATGTTTTGAGGTAGAGAGGAATTTAAAACATATAAAGTTTAATACTCTCCCTTTACAGATGAGGAAACTGAGGCCTAAAAAAAGTGGAGAGAGTCTTAAGGTCAAAGAATAAATTAGAAAAGCCAGACCATGCCATTTCCAGTTAGTTTTTGTAACTTCTATACATGTTTACATAAACCAGGGAGAGGGAAAAGAATGAACACAGATTACAGAACTAGTATGTCCCCTTGCATGTAAGAGATAATTTAAATGTTGGGGAATTTCTCTAATTCCAAGCATACAGTTTGTGAGGATGAGAGCAGAAGTATGCTGACTGCGAGATGGTTCTAGGTCCTAGTCTCCCTGCGGCCATGCTTGCCCTCACACTGCCCGAGGCCGCACTGGGGAAAGAGCCTGTATCAGCTGCTGCCAGCCCCAGTGCCGCCCCCCAGAGCCTGCCTGCCTGCCTGTGCCACCCGCCTGCCCAGAGCCTGCCTGCCTGAGGCTGGTCCTCAGACTTCCTTCACTTCCAAGGAAGTCCCAGAAACTCATGAACGCCCAACAATGGTTTGACATTTAAAAAGGAACAAATAAAAAAAGAACAATGATAAGAGTGATCAGAGGAATTCATAAACAAGTTCTTTAACTCCTTATGAAAAACCTACAAAAATAAGGAAAACCGAGGCGTGAGCATGGGGGGGAGGAGGAGGAGAGCCGTCTCCTGGCACACGGGGACGCGCTGAGCGGGGCCAGCAATCGGGGGCCTGAACACCTGAGCAGCACGCTTCCCGGAAGCCGCAGAGCCACAGCCGGGCTGCCCCTCCGGCTCGCCCGCGCTCGCAGCACTGACCTCGGAGTCCATCCCCTGCATCTCGTTCTTCTCGAGCTGGAACTGCACGAAGACGTCGATGACCTGGAAGAGCTCGGGGGACACGGCCTTGAAGTACTTGTGGTAGTCGTACTTCACGGCCAAGGACGCGAAGATGGTGTTGTTGACCAGGGCGGAGCGCAGGTCGGTCAGGACGCCCGGGGAGTGCTGCCGCGGGTCTTCGTAAAGGTGCTTGGTTATGAGGTAGTCCAAGATGGCGTCTCCCAGGAACTCCAAGCGCTGGTAGCAATCTGCGGGGCACAGGGAGCTGTGAGCCAGGGCAGCGCCCGACATGAGCCCACAGCCAGGCCAGAGACAGCCTTCTGGGCCCATTCATACACACTCTTCAAGGACAGCACTGACATCTCACACTGGCTGGCGCCTCTGGCGATGGCATTTTAACGGAAAATTGAGCACATTCTTACATACTGCGTCAGGGTCACAAAACCTCTAAGTGGCCAGAAGACAGACGTCTGTTAGGAAAACCCTTCCTCCGGCCCCACGCGGGGCAGGCCGGTGCTGGGCCCCGTCCCCAGGTCCCCGTCACACATCCCCACGGAGGCCAGCCCCGCAGGCCCGCCTCCCCCGCGGCAGCTCACACATACGCTCACTCACACGCGACAGACGAGCAGCACCACACCTCGCCATCTCTGGGCTACCTCTGTCACACGAGATGACGGTTAGCATAAGGAGACCCCCTTCTCCACCTGGACTAGAAATGGTGAAACGGAGCCCTGGTTGGTGTGGCTCAGTTGGTGGGGCATCGTCCTGTGCCAGTCTGAGTCCTGGTCAGGGCTCATCCCGGGTTACAAACTCAGTCTCATGCAGAAGGCGTGCAGGAGGCAGCTAATCCATGTTTCACTCTCACATCGGGATGTTCCTCTCTCCCTCTCCCTCCCCACCTCCCTTCCTCTCCCTCTAAGAAAAAGATCAATTAAAAAAGTGTTGAATTTTACACAAACCAAGAGATTGAGAAAAAAGTTGCGGGAGTGAGTGAAGACCTGGAGCAAAAGCAGTTGATAGTCAAAATGTGGGAAGTTATCCATGTTAACCAGCACCTCCACTCTCTGTTACTAAAGAGTCCACGCAACTGAGGAGACTGAGGCAGGGACAGATGAAATGACTTGCCCCGGCTCCCCCAGGGAGGGGCTGAGACCGGACAGAGCCAGACCTCGCCGGGCATGGGCAGCACAGAGCCAGGCCTTGTCATGCCCCCAGCCTTCAGAGCGGACTGGCCACGTCCCGCTTCTGGCTCCACGTTTCTCAGACATCTTAATCACATTCTCTTCTCACACAAGCTGCTGCTCTGCTCCGGTGTTTGGATCCACGCACTTGTCACTGTGATAGAAGCGCACTCAGACCCGACTGTGTCACTGGCTGACACCAGCGGGCGGTGAGGTCCGAGAGGCTGACGCGGGAGCGCCGGGAGCTCAGGGCAGAGATGCCAGGGCACGGGCACGGGCATGGAGCCTCGGAGAAGCATTCCTTATCACCTGCTCATCTTTAGACGTAAAGAGGCTTCCGAGGGGCTCTTTTGTTCAGGAAGAATGCTACAGGATGTGGAAGTCCATCCAGACACACACGTAAATCAGCAGCCCCAGCAGCCTGAGCGGCAGAGCCACTGGGCAGGCGAAGGCAGGAAAGGCCACCATGGTGCGGCCGCTCCCGGGACCCGCAGCACACGCAGCACATGTGAGAGGGCCCGGAGAGCAGAGCCTCCTCTCTCCTCCCCCTCCTCCTCCCCCCTCATACACACACACACACACACACGTTAAGCACTGAGCCTGAACATGCATAGGTCATTTCTTTGCGAGGCCAAAGTAACACGATCAGCACACGCCGGCCTTACCGGTGATGGTGTTGTAGTGGTAGGAGGCGTGTGTAAAAGCCTGCAGCAGGTAAGCCTTGTTCTTGAATCTGTAGTTGATTTTCTCCTCAAAGTTCTCAAAGCCCGATATGAGGTGCGTGAGCGTCTTGTCGGCGTCCGGGTGGTCGAACATGCAGCGGGGCGGGATCTTGAGGCAGCCGTACTCCGGGGCCCTCCACGTGGCGGGCCGGGGGCTGCCGGCGGGGGCCCGGCTCCCGGCGAGGCCCCTCTGCTGGCTGCTGGCAGCCTCCCGGGCGGGGCCCTTCTCCACCGGCAGCACCTTCAGGCCCAGCGAGCAGAGGAAGAGCTGGGCGGCCCGCTCGCCGCAGCTGGTCAGGTAGCAGCCCAGCAGGGCCTCCACGCAGTCGGCGATGCTCTTGTCGGCGATGCACTGCTCCGTGTGCAGGTCGTAAGAGATGGACTGCTTGCCCGTGTCCGCGCCGCAGTTCTCCTCGGACGGGTTCCAGAAGCCCACCACGAAGTCATCCTCCTCCACGGCTTTGCTGGGATCCAGGTAGCACATGGCGTCCCAGGAGCTGTAGTCAAAGTCCTCGAAGTCTGCTGCGAACGGCATGCCGCCCACGGGGGCCTTCCTGGGCATTTTCCACTCGTAGGCGGCGTCGGTGGCCGAGAACGGCGAGAGCGGGATTTTCCTCACGAACGCCCCCGAGCCCATCAGCATGTTGTCTATGAACTGGATGTGCTCCTGGTCGTACTCCAGGAAGTCGTCCTCGTAGTCGGCGTCCTCCTTGGGGGCCCTCCACAGCAGGCCCTCCTCCTCCTCGTCCTCCTCGAAGTCGTCGTCCAGCTTGCCGTTAGCCAGCAGGCAGTCCTTTGTCTGCAGCGGGGGAATGGGGCAGGAGGGAGACATAGCCGCCGGTTTTAAAAGGCTTGAGACTCAATAAAAGCAAGGGTTATGGATAATTTCAAATGACAACCACAAATACTAAAAGGCAACTTTAAAATCACAGCCATTTGTTTTCAATTAACATAAAATAAGTTATTTAATCATATAAACAAAGTAAAACATGTTCTTTGAATGCTCGTTTTCTGAGTTATAAAATGACCTTTATCCAGCACGAAGCTTTCAGCCGAGGGTTTTATACATGGCATGTGAAGTTAAAGTTAATGGCCACAAGGCAAACCTTCAGCTGAGAACTCCAATCTGGCGAATACACAATGGAAGTACTCATATGCCAGCCAGAGATCTTCAGTTTTGCTGAGAAAGTTTCAAAAAGATTTTCAAATTAATAAAATTAAATTCCAGATGCAAAAAAAAGCATTATCTTTGCAATTAAGAGTATAACATAAAACAGATAGAATTATTTCTTAAGTCTTTACAACATTAAAAATGTGCAAAAGTTTCATGATGTAGTGTCTGTCCCTATTTCTACTTCAAATCAAAGTACATTTGCTACGATGTAAACCTAAATTGCTTTACTTTGAAAACTAAAAGTGATCACTGACCTAAGCTAAGAATTTGAGAAATTATGCTTTTCCCCCTCTACAGAGCTACAGTAATCAGGGTAACTGATTATAGCATAACTGACAAAAATAGAAGAAAATTTATACTAACATGAAACACAACAATCCAATTTCTGTCAGAGGATCTTTGCTAATTCCAATTTCTTTGGCAATAGCTTATTTGTGAATGACAACCTTAATAACGGGCTAGGCTTCAGTAATGATGTAACTTTTTTGCAATGCTAGGAAGATGCCAAATTTCTGTTGAGTAATAAAATTAAAAAAAAAAAAACCACCACAAACAAGAAAAACCACACACATCAAGACTTGACTTTGGGGGGAGAGGCAGCAGGCTGTGCTTCAATTTTGATAGTGACAACTTTCCAGAGTGTTCTGAAAGGTTTTCAAACTTTCTGTCAAGCGCTTTTTAAATGCTGCAAATATTTTCATTTTAAGCCAGACTCAAGAGAGATACAGTCTGTAATTGTTTGAAAAGAAATAAGAGCGGTGAGCCAAGCCATATACCTTTAACTATGTGTATTTTTTAAAATAAAAAAAAAAGTTTATAAAACGTTTTCAAGCATAAGGAAGAACCGAAAAGAAACTACAATGCAGACCTCGAGGAACTATTCCGTTAAAAATCCTATACTTTCCTGGTAACATGAGATTTCTTTTGACTAATTGTTTGGTCCTGAGAAGAAAGGGCCAAGTTAGTTTCAAAAAAATGAAGACTGAATAATTTTTAATTAAAAACATCCATATATATTTTTATAGAGATGCTAACATAAGCTAAAATTAGTGGAGTGTAAGAAAAGCAAAAAGCAAAACAAAGGCCTGGGTTTTATCACCAAGAGGCGGGCTGACCTGGGGCGCAGTTCTCTAAGCCTCTGGGTTTCACTTTCTCGGCAGAACAGTGGGATCCTACCCACTAAGTGGTTCCCAGGAGCACTGCGAGCTCTTTAAAAGTAAAGGCCCCGCATGCAGCTCTCCTCCGAGTCCCAGGCGCCACCTGAGCTTCCGCCGGCCATTGCCACCTGGCTGCGCGGGGCAGGCGGGTACAACAGGAATGTAACTAGCATTCGCTCTCAATAGCAGGCAAGGGCCCGCGGCAACGGCACCAGCTCCTCGGTGACAGGAGGAGCAGTGCATAATGTTTTCCAGGAACCAAAGTGCCAGTCCAGCTGAAAACGTCAAGAAAAGGAACTGTGCGCTATATCTTAAAAAAAACTTTTTTAATCAAGAGGACATGCCAACATCAACTTTATTCTTCCATATTTGTGGTTTTTTTAAAGTCAATCATATTATAAAACAGTATTTACAAAGCAGGATAACTGTTGCGGAATAATGTTTGTAAAAATGTAGTCTTTTCTCTAAAGTTCTCAGAGTCTACACATTTTTTCCTAAGGTTCTACCTATCTCTAAATGAATAACATGTGCTTTTCCTAACCCAATTCTTATTAAAACGTTTTCCTAATGCTTCCCACATAAGTTTAATTCTTACACGAAGTCAAAAACTGCATGACTTAAAAACATACTCAATGCAGAGGTAAAACGCAGACGTCACAGAGTGTGAACCGGAAAGACACAGGACAGACAGCTGGGACGCGCAGGTCAGAAAGAGGACACACAGCGAGCCGCGCTGGCCGGGCCTGGGGAGAAGCGGCCGCACTCGCTCGCCGTTGCCGGGAGTTACGGCGAAAAGGAAGCCGCAGCGACCAGGCTCCCGGCCCGGCCTCTCAGGTGCCCTCTAGAGGGCGGCCTTCAAGACAAGATACCAGGAGCAGCCGCTTCTGAAATCAGACAACCTTTAAACCACTGCCAGAAACCTGCAACCTTTCCGTCTGCCATTTATTCACTCGGAACTTTTGGGCACAAAAGCAGACACAGCCTGCACAAACCCTGAGCGGCAAAGGCCAGCTCTTACTGACATTTTATTATTTCACAGACTAGAAATCAGAGGTCACGGAACAGTCAATTAACTGAACAGCGGTAGGTAGGGATCTGTGATAAACCGCAGCACCTAACAGTACAGTGAAACGTTGTAGGGTTTTACTTTTCTTCTTTTGAACACTAAATTAGCTCACAAAGAAAGAGAAATTGTCTTCTATCAAAACTGCAACATTGTTTCTACTTAGAGAGCTATTAAGTCAATATATCCAATATAAGCTCCATTATAAACACACCAGGGAAGAGAAACAAAAAACTAACAGCATAAATCTCTCTCCTCGCCCAAAAAGAAACCCTCCCGTTGCCACAGCTTACCGTGTCGTCCTTCTCCCATTTGTCGGCGTTGCTTTTGTCCTGGTTCACCACGTAGCCGGGAGGAAGCCAGTTCACGGGGGGGTCGAATATGGACACCACCATGCGGCTGGGCAGCCCCCTCTTCTTCCCAAGCCGATACAGGTTGCAGTTGCTGACCTTGGGCAGAAGAAGTTCACAGACACTTACTCTGCATGATCGCTGCTGTGACTCAGATGAGGCATGTTAACATGTTTATACCCAAATTCCTGTCCCCGGTCATCATGGTAACACTGCTGGGAAACAGGAAGTCCTATATCCTTTAGTGTTGGTAGAGGAGGATTTCTGTGAGTACTAAACGCAGATCTGAAAAACTGACATACACATGCAAATTCTTTATGAAGTCAGAAGAAACAGTTCAATTTCCACCTGCAGAGAGCAGGATCTGATTACGTAAAATGAAAATTGCTAACTGTGAGATTTCTAAAAAAGAATCCACGTACGAAGTCCAGACGCCACAGCATTCTCAATGGAGCCGAGCGCAAGGGGCACTCAGCGAGCTCGCTCCGTCGCTTCCCGAGGCCAGACCCAGAGCCGCCCCGAGGCATTTCAAAGGGAGTGTTTTCTCCAGCCTCAGCCCCTGTTTGGAATGGTATTTCAAGACCGTGTTGTTCAATCATTTTAAATAGAGCAAAAAGCAGTAAGGAACAACTCCATGTTTATTTGCATCAATAAAACCCTCATTTCTGTTTTCCCTAAGGCTTCCAGCTCCTCAAATTACTGCCGTTCTGTCTCATTTTTACTTGGAAACTCGCTCTAGAACTGTCGCCTCACTTTTGTTGTCTAAACCCAGTTCCTCTGAAGTGCTTCCTGGGCCCTTCCTCCACGGAAGGCAATGCCCTGGAGCCAGCACCCAGAGAGAGGCGCTAGGCAGAGGGCAGGAGCGGGCTCTGCGGAGAACACCGGCCCCGACACAGCTAACGGGCTTCCAAGCTGCCGGAACCGAACGTGCCAGCTCACATAATGCTACTCCCTCCTCCAGACCACGAGGACCGCTTCCAGATGCCAACAAGAGAACGGACATCGCAAAGCCGACAGAGACAGCTGGCAGGAGGGAAAGGAGGACTAATAAGGACTCAGGGAGCTCCCTGTGGGACAAGCGAGCTGAGCAAGGAGAAATGGTGAGTGCTCCGAGAAGCCCGCCCGCCCTGGGGGTCCATGGGGAGAGCAAGGCGCAGCCGGGTTAGGGACAGGCCCACCTGGGGGTGAGCACTCTACAGGGTCTCCCCAAAGGCGAAGGGAGGGAGAGCTGCTGCAGGAAACAGGAGTCGGCGCGCTCTGAGCAGATGAGTGGATGAATTTTTGAAATATAAAATCATGTCTTTCTTACCAAACAGGGTATCATTCTTAGCCTCTGACTTCCCAACCACGCCTGGGCAATCTCACTTGTCCTCAGAGCTTCAACTGTCACTCCTATAAAGACTGTTCCCCAAACCGTCCTTAGAGCTAACTTCTCAATGACCTGAACATCCACTTCATATTCCATGAGGTCTGAAAACCCACTGAACCCCGATTCCGACATTTCTCTCTACCTCACAACCAGCACCATTATAACCCAGCTCCGTGTGTGTGTGTGGGTGGGTGTGAGTGTGTGTGTGTGTGTGTGTGTGTGTGGAGGGTGTGTGTGTGGAGGGGGTGTGGGGGGGGTGGGGGGAGGGTGTATGGAGGTGTGTGTGTGGGTGGTGTGAGTGTGTGTGTGGGTGTGTGTGTGTGTGGGTGTGTGAGTGTGAATGTGTGTGTGTGTGTGGAGGGTGTATTTGGAGGGGGGGTGTGTGTGTGGTTGTCATCACTGCATCCCCCCCAACGCTGGGACGCAGCAGAGCCGATGGTGAAGGACCTGGGCTCCAGCGTCGGAGGAATGCCTGACTCCCCGGGCCTAGCGAAATGGCCTCCATGAGCTGAGCTCTGAGCAGCTTTCTCATCTGCAAAATGGAGGCGCTCACCGCCTCCCAGGGCCGAGGTTGCGGAGAAGGGCTGGGAGACACCCACAGTGCCTGGCGCTGCAGGGCAGAGCGAGAGCAGGGCAGCGGTGCAGAGCGAGGTCTCCACGGCAGCTGGCTGCATCTGCCTGCGTGTGGCCTCCGTTCACCTCTGCTGCTCCGGCACCCGCATCGGGAAGACGGAAGGAGACCAGCGGCTGGCTGCAGGAAGACCTCCTAAGTGTAGCTCAGCTAAGATTCCTTCCTCTGGAGTAACACTCCCCAGACATCATTTCTGCTGAAGCACAGACTTCCTCAAAGCCAGCGGCTGGTTCCGCGTGGCCGGTCCTGCTTCTGAACTCCCGCTCCTTCTGTTCAGACCCATCATTTACAGCCGCCGCCTTATGGCCACTCACAGCCCCTCCTGCAGAAAGTGCCTCCCCGTTCCAGGGACCTGCACGTTCCCAGTGCAGATTCCCTCGCCTCGGCAAAGACCCCACAGTGCAGCTTCGACCCTCTGCCTTTTCTGGTCTTTTCTCGGCAATTTCCACCCTCCGACTCACTGAGAGCGACACACTCTGCCATCTGTCCACTTCACGGACGCACTGTGAACACACCCTTCCGTGAACACCACCTCTGACCGCGAGTGCTCACCCCTCGCTGGGTGCTCAGGCTGACCAGCAGCTAAGCTATCTGCCAAACAGGCGCACGCTGAGTGTGACACCTCTTTTCATCATTAAAGATTTCCCCTTCATTGCTTTTCTTCCTGAAGTCTTGACTCCACACTAAATGCAAGAACAGCCTCCCTTTGTCTGATCAGGCCTCGGAGCCGGGAGGCGCTGCTCTTTCCCTCCCAGCACCCTGAGCCGGAGACAGGCCCGTGGAGCGGGTCTTAGCCGTGTGTGCCTGTAGGCAGGGCAGAGCCTCCCCAGCAGATGCTTCATCCAGCTCAGTCAGGGAGAGCACGCTCTCACTCTGCTGCCTCTGAAGTAAATGCCCATCGGCGAGTCAGTCACATCACGTCAGCCAGCCCCCAGACCTGAGTGTGTCATCGGTGACAACCAGATCTGTGTCAGCTCCTGGCGCGCACGCCACAGGCTTGAGCTGCACATGCTTTCCTGATCCTCTGAAACTGCCCCACACTTGCCACCAATAGGCACACTGAGGAACTGTTCTGGCGCACAAGGACCACTTACCTTCTTGCTCCTCATGTAGGACAGGCGGCCCTCGTGTGCGTCTGGGTACGTGCAGAACAGGTACGTGGTGATGGCGTGCTTGAGGAAGGAGTCCCCCAGCATCTCGAGCCGCTCCAGGTTAAATCCATCGCTGGCGTTTGAAAGGGTCAGCGCCTGAAGGATGAGTCCGGGGTTCGGGCCCAGAGTCCGGGAGGAGTACCCAGGAGGGGGGCTCCGCGCAGAGCCCAGCCTGTCCTTGAGCGCGGCAACAGCTTCTGTGGTGCCGGGCACAGTGGCCCTCGCGGCACTGCCATCTGAGGTAGATGTGTTAGCGTTTCCATCAAGGTATGTATTACTCAGTAGAGTACATTCATCGCTGGGCGTGGGCTGGTTCTCATAATTGTATAAATTCTGAATGGGATATGAGGTAGTTGGTTGTACAGGTATTTCCCGCTTGTAGTAATTCAGCTGATTTCCTTGGCAAAAGTCTCTGTTAGCTAAATCATAACTGCCATTGGCAAGATTTCTGTTGTAAGAAAGACCGTTAATTGCTGTGAGATCTGTGGGCACGTCAATGGGGAGCTTACCGGATGGCTCACTGAGCAGCGCTCTGCAGGTCACAGGCATTTGGTCATGACTTTCCAGAGAGGAGATTCTATTAGCACCTTGGTGTGCAGCATGTTCAGGGACAATTGTGCTGTGCTTACAGTGAGCATCGTGTTCAGCTGAGGAGGAGTTAGCAATTGAGATGAAAGATTTGCTGTCGATAGATTTTTTCCACCCAAAGTCTAAGTTAGGGTATCTGCAAAGACATTTTTATAACTTTTCATCAGATTCTTCAAAAGGGCGAGGCTCAAAGCAAGAGTCACCTGAATATGAATAAATAAAGATCCCTGTATCTATGCTCCTGCTTCAGAAGAGAAACCAGTTCCCCAGAGGAAACCTGCACACTGCACTGGAGAGCGGGACCCGGGGCGTGCGCCGTTGGTAATGGTGTGGCTGCCGGGCGCTGAAGCCGGGGCCAGTCCTCCGGGTAACGAGCTGGGAAACTTTGGGCAAGTCACACAACCTCTCTGTGCCTAAGCGTGCAGCGTGGGAGAAGAGCTAACAACAGTTCCTACCATTCTATTTTGACGTCCCTCACTCCCAGAACCACGTGGCCTTGCCAACTGGACAATCAAAATTAATTTGAGTAGTTAAACCAATAATTTTCAGAATGCGGAGACTTTGCTAATGGGGAAATAAAGTGGGGAGAAAATGATGAAGACAAAGAAGACCCCCAAGGCACTGCTTTACCATGTAACTCAGACTTATCCAAGAAGGCAGGCCTGGCATGTCAGCACGGTGTGAGGACTGCTTCCATGTCAGCTCCCACCACTGAGGAGGGATGACTGCTTTGATCCTAGTGCCTCACCCCCCTCCGTTCATTACAGGAGCATGGGCCTCAACAAGTAGATTTTTCACTTAGGAACCAAAGGCTGCATTTATGTCACTTATTAGACATCCCTGCATTTTCAAGAAGCATTTCACATGAAATTAAAGCTTAGATTAATTCAGCTCTTTGGCGAGCAGGCATACCTAAAGTCCACAGGGAGGGACCTGACCCCCACGCCAGCGTCGCTGGCCGTCTGGGCGCGGAGCTCCTCCGCGGTCAGGAGGCAGTGCAGGCGGTACAGCACGCTGGGCAGGCAGACTGCCTTCCTCCACAGGGAGGCCGGGATCGGGTGGATAGCACAGAGCTCAGGGACCAGGATCTGGGAGCACGAAGAGGGTGAACACATCAGTATAAAGCACACACACAGGAGAATGGAAAGCAGACCTAAGGCCACTTCCACTACTGGCTAAGGACAAAAGCCGTAAGTGCCAGCAAAATCTCATTTAAAAAATACTTTCATACAAATCCTTGAAGGCCACAATGGGTGTATCCTAGGGTTTATAAGGATAATTTCATGGTATAATTGTGTCAATGGACCAATTTTAAGCTCAACTGATGTCTGCTAGGTGAGGAGGGGGAGGGGCAGGGTGAAAGGGGAAGGGACCAGGAAGTACAAATTGGTGGTTACACAACAGGCACAGGGACGGGAAGTACAGCACAGGGAATACAGTCAATAGCACGGTATGACTGTGTGGTGTCGGGAGGTGTAAGACTACCGGAGGGATTACGTGCGTAAAGCTATACAATGTCTAACTCCTCTGCTGTACACCTGAAACTAATGTCAGCTGTAATGGACATAGTGAAAAAAATTTTTTTTTCAAATCCTTGAGGGCCAAATGGAATTTATCCTAGAATTTATAAGGATGATTTCATGTATAATTGTACCAATGGTAAAAATTAAACTGTTCGGACTTATAAAAAAAAAAAACACAATCAAATAAAAGTCAACACACAACACCAGTCAAACCAAAACAAAACCTAAGGGTTGGGCAATTTCCAAAACATTGACCGGTCACTGAGTTCACTTGATAACACAGAGTTCGAGCTTGTCTTTAAAAGCGTTAAACATTGTATAGCTAACGACATCACCTGTTTGTTCTGCAGACTTTCCCACTTGGCTTTCCTCTTCTCAGCACTGCTCAGGGGAAGGGCTTTCCCTTTCTGGTTCAGATGGCGAGGTGTCAGAAGGTTAAGTCTGCAAAAAAGGCAAAACGGTTTTACCAAACAGACCCACGTCCGCTCTCCAGCTCAGCTGCCCCTGCCCACCAGAACTCACTGCCACGCAGGCCCGGACCACCCCGGGCAATCGGTGTGCCCGGCGCCCGGTTTCGGAGCCCAGGGCCGGACACAGGGAGCCTCTCTGGTGCGCACCCTTACCTGGAGGACGTGTGGTCCACATCCAGCAGCGGCTGGTTGAGATTGGTCAGGTCAAGGTTGTACTTGGTTTTGTAATACTCTGCAAACGTCTCATACTCGGGGGAAGGAAATTTGCTCAGTGGGGTAAGGTCAGTGTACACGTCAGCAACATAAAACCGATGAGGTTGATCAAAATTTCGATACCTAAAAAAAAAATAAAAAAAAAATAATGACTTGTGGTTTAAATCAACTGTTCTCAAAACACAACTAACTTGTTTTTAATATGGAAATGGAAATATGATTGTAAAGTAAGAGTTCAAAAGGTTAAAAATAAATAACACTAATGAAAACTTTAATTCCAAATTATCTATTTCAAGTGGATTTGAAAAAAGCACCACGTTTGTATCGAGCCAAACCTACCTGACCACCCTCCTCCTTCCTTATCTTTCCCAGTAACACATGGGAGCTAACGGCATCGGGAAGCAACTCTCAGTTACACAGCACAGGGAGCTCCCAACACCCACACTGCGCACACACTTGGACATCGCGAATGCGACCGGGACACACCCCACCGGGACACACCGCCACCGGGACACACCCCACCGGGACACACCCACCGGGACACACCGCCACCAGGACACACGGCCACCACGGCCACCGGGACACACCCCACCGGGACACACCCCACTGGGACACACCGCCACCAGGACACACCCCACCGGGACACACCGCCACCAGGACACACCCACCGGGACACACCGCACCGGGACACACCCACCCGGACACACGGCCACCGGGACACACCGCCACCAGGACACACCCACCGGGACACACCCCACCGGGACACACCGCCACCGGAACACACCCCACCGGGACACACCCACCGGGACACACCCACCGGGACACACCCACCGGGACACACCCCACCGGGACACACCGCCACCAGAACACACCCCACCGGGACACACCGCCACCGGGACACACCCACCGGGACACACCCCACCGGGACACACCGCCACCGGAACACACCCACCGGGACACACCGCCACCGGGACACACCCACCGGGACACATGGCCACAGGGACACACCCACCGGGACACATGGCCACAGGGACACACCCCACTGGGACACACCTCACCGGGACACACCGCCACTGGGACACACCCACCGGGACACACCCCACTGGGACACACCGCCACCGGGACACACCCACCGGGACACACCCACCGGGACACACCGCCACTGGGACACACGGCCAGCCACTGGGACACACGGCCACCACGGCCACACCCCACCGGGACACACCCACCGGGACACACCGCCACCGGGACACACCCACCGGGACACACAGCCACTGGGACACACCCCACTGGGACACACCGCCACCAGGACACACGGCCACCACGGCCACCGGGACACCCCCACCGGGACACACCCCCACCGGGACACACCCCACCGGGACACACCCCACCGGGACACACCCCACTGGGATGGGCTGCTGCGCCATCACTGGCGCCGGCAGCGGAGGGCAGCTAACACTACATGTGGCTTTGAGGCTCCCAAAGAACAAATCAGGCGAAGGACATTAGAGCCAGCGCTCCAACTCTGAAAGTGCCTCAAACCGCCATTCCCTAGATGTGTACAAAATAAGAAAATTTCAGATTATTCCTTTTGTACTAAATAGCATTATTCCTTATAAACACGTTAAGCAGAGTTATGCATGATCAAATTATAGAAGACTTTGGGATTGTAAGGAGGGCGGGCTTAGGAAGCAGCCTGTCACCGTTAGATGACCTGATCTTCACAAAGTCAAGTCTCCTCAATGACAGGATGGGGTTTGGCTCTGTGAGGACATCACTGGAGAAAACAATCCCCCACGAAGGGGAACAGCAATGCCCACACCAGCGCGAACAGGTGGCTGTCCCCAAACACCGCACCGCACCGCCAGCCCGCCCTCTCCCAGTGCTCACCGTGGAATGATAACTGCATCCTGGTAATCTTCCAATTGAAAAACAAAGGGCGTTTCTTTCGAATACTTTGTACTGGGAATGCCTATGCGAGCTTCTGATTTCTCAATATCTTCCATGAACTTAAAGTCAATGTCCAGAGTGCTGGAGTCATTAACTTAGGGGAGAAAAAGACTGTTAGCTTGTTAAAATACCAACCCGGAAAGACTGACGGAAGCTCTCTAGTCACAAGGTGCCTAACAGTCACCGCAGCAAGAGGCTTCTGTGTTATGTGCAAAGCAGCTGCCAAGCCACACGCTCATTCTTGGGAGTCGGGTCCTTACCAACATTCAGAGGTAGAACACAGTATGCTGAGTCGGCGTCTGTGGGTTTGAATTCTAGCGCAGGCTTTTCGAGGCGGAGGATGTGGGAGAATATGTACTGGTGGAGCCTGGTAATCAGCTCGAGCATCTGGAGAGACAGTGTGAAGCCGGACTTCTTCAGCTCGATAGAGATGGTGACCTCTCCAGAGCGGGTGTACACCGGGAAGTGCGGGATCTGAGCACAGAGGGACAAAGCGCCATGGTTAGCAGCTACTTTCCTCCTTTATAACTGTGTAACCTCAGGGGAGAAATGGTGCTTTCTCTCAGAGAATAGAGGAGACCGCTCCATTTGTAAATACTGGACATGCTGAGAGAACCAACGGCAGCCACCCTGAAGCCACACTTCCTTTTGGAAAGAAACGATGTCTTTCTAACATCGACAGTCCTTCTGCAGGCCTCACCTGAGGTATGGGTTTTGCTGTCAGTATTCCAAAGCATCTTGTGGTGTCCTCAGGGGGATAGAGTTTCCGCCTTCTGAAGTTGAGTTCATCAGGTAATGGGGTCGTGAGAACCATTCCTATCACATACAGGTAACAGGGCTGATCGGGTTTGGGGTAGCTATCCCTCAGACATTCTGGAATCTAGAATTGGAAAGAAAACCTCAGCATCGTGCTCAAATATAATAGCCTCTTTTCCAGGTGCTGGCAAGAAACTTACTCCTGGCTTTCCTAAATGCTGAGGAGGAGAAGCTGAGAAAATAGCCGAGGCCCAAGACCTCCTATTTATGTCGTAGCCCGCTGGAGAGTAACTAAGCTCTTCCTCAGCCTGACAGGCATCCTTCTTCCCCCGTGTCTACTTTATCATCCAGACCCTCTGTCTTAGCCCCACACATGAGTGAAGCACCCCTCTGATCCCCGCGGGGGTAAAGCAGAGAGCACCTCTTCAAATGGAATAATCTTATTCTGGAGAGAACGCGAATTCTGGGGAGGCCAGGAAGCCTGTGCGCGGGGGCGGCCCCGAGAGAAGGTCGGTGGGGTAGGGAGGGAGGCCCGGAGGGGCCAGATGGCAGGGGGCTGGGAAGCCAAGTGAGGAGCTGGGATTTGGCGCGGCGGAAGAGAGTGGCAAAGGCTGGATTCTGTCCGGCGCTAACCAATACTAACTGCTTTGGGGTAGCACTGTCTTCGCTTTGTGGAACCTGGTCGGCCGGGGACGCTGGTCTCCTCCTCATCATGCAAATCAAGCTCTTCTTCATACTTAACCGTTTCCTTCCCCACTGGCAGCAGATGGTCGTCCAGTTCACCTACAAAGCGGAAAGGGAACGGCACCCAGTACAGGCGATGCCTCGCTAACGAGCCAATTACACAGAGGAAGCAACCGCAAGAGCAATGACAGCTAAAGCCTCTTTGCTCTGAATAAAAACGTAATTGAACTACGTGATACTAAGGCAGAGTCTACGCTGGACCCATCTATTCCACGAGCAGGATTTCACAAACAAAACCTCTGACCAGGAAAAGAGCCCACTGCCGTCACTTTACAAAAGCCGTGGAGATAAAGTAGTCCCGTTTTTCAGAAAGTGGATTAATTTGTGCACCAATTTGGATTAATGTGAGAGGCTGATGTTCAAGGGCAAACATCCGTGGCCCAGCAGAACAGGAGAACCTTCGTGTGTCTAAAAGGAGTCCGTGCCGAAGCCGGTTTGGCTCAGTGGTAGAGCGTCGGTCTGCGGACTGAAAGGTATCAGGTTCGATTCTGGTCAAGGGCATGTTCATGGGTTGTGGGCACATCCCCGGTAGGGGTGTGCAGGAGACAGCTGGTCAATATTTCTCTCTCATCGACGTTTCTAGCTCTCTATCTCTCTCCCTTCCTCTCTGTAAAAAATCAATAAAATATATTTAAAATAAAAAATTAAAAAATTTAAAAAAATAAAAGGAGTCTGTAAAGAAAGCGAAAAATGACAGCCGCCTGCGGCTCAACGGTGGGCACCAGGCCTCCTCCCCGCACACCCCCAGGCCCGGCACAGCTCACGGCTCCACAGACCCTGGACCCACTGGCATCAAGTCCTTGACATGCTTTTGCTTTCCAATGTTTTTAACTTTATCTGCACGTGCTTTTCCAATGCTTACCAATTTTGTGCAGTCTTTCACAGCAAATAAGCGCTACCACCCTTTCAGCCAATCGTATACAGCTCATTGGGGGACCCTGAAAGGAACAAGAACATTTCGTTGTGTTTGCCCGTAGCTATATTATCATCAGCACCTAAAATATTACGCAACCTCTGCCCCAGTACCTTTCAAGAAGAAATTTACAGAGGAAAGTTCTTTATTTTGAAAAATGTCACAAGTTTAAAAATCCTATTCTCCATATTTAAAATAGCCAACTTTAAAAATCCTTCCTGAATGAATTGTAACTAGGATTTGACAATTTCGGTGAATTTAAATATATTTTATATCCATTAATCTGCAAACATGTAACCAAAAAAATAAAGATACAGTATATCAAGATGTGACTATAGCCAAAACTGGTTTGGCTCAGTGGCTAGAGCCAAACTGAAAGTTCCCAGGTTCGATTCCGGTCAAGGGCATGTACATTGGTTGCGGGCACATCCCCAGTAGAGGGTGTGCAGGAGGCAACTGGTCGATGTTTCTCTCTCATTGACGTTTCTAGCTCTCTATCCCTCTCCCTTCCTCTTTGTGGAAAATCAATAAAATATATTTTTAAAAAAATGTGACTACAAAATACAATACACAATCGTTCTAACACTTTCAATGTGTGATAGGAATTAGTCATCTTCAATATCCGGAAGTGAGCCCTGGGACCACGGACACACTGCAGTTACGCAGAGACAGATTCTCAAGTCAGGAGAGCAGCAGAGCGGCCAACCACAGCTCGAACTCGGCGTCCCCGTGCGGATCTCAGCCCCAGGGGAGCGGGCGTCAGCAATGTCCACCCGAGTCGGACTCGGCGGAGACTCCAAGGTCACATAGCCCAGTCCCGCGCGTCTGGGCGTGTGCAGGGATCCCTGAGGCACAGCTCTCCTTCCTAAACTTACCACTATGGAGGCTCGAAGAGGTGAGTTGATTGGCAGGTAGAGAGTTGAGTAGAAGGTCCCGTCGGGCAGCTCCCGGGTTCTGCACTTAGGAGCGAGGTGAGTGAACGGGTCACTTGGTAACCTAGCGCAGTATCTGGGGAGAAAAGGACATGCTGATGCTCAGTCTACAACTGAGAGACAGATGAGAGCACGTGTACTGACGGTCACATGCTCAGGTGTGACTTCTCCTGTCCCGCTTCCCCTCTCCCGGAGTGGAGTTTGCGTGTGGAGCGGGAGCCTCATTGCTTCACTGTCCACAGGAAGTGTCTAATGGACTTCCTGCAATGCTGCTCTGTAAGGGCGCTGCCCACCAGGCAGCCTCTGAGCCCGGAAAGGTGGAGAGGGCAGCCAGGGACTGGTCTTTATCTTACTCATCTTAGTGAGAACTGAATTTTGATTTAAACAGCCACGTGTCCAGTGCCCGCCACGCTGGACATTGCAGACTATGTTCCGGGTCTGTGATAAGAACACACTGCCGGTGTTTGTTCCTAACCATCTGACATTTGCCAGAGAAGCCCTCATTGAGAGACAGGCCACGGAGTGAGGCCTGTAACCTCCAAACGCTGCAGGCCACTGCGGCCGGAAGCCTGGGCACAGTTCCAGCTGGAGGAGAGAGGCGAGGAGCAGCACAGACAAACCCTCGCCCTCCCTCCGTGGTTTCTCTCACTGCCACGCACTCGTGGGACCCGTACAGCCTCTCTGGGCGAGGGGCATGGCGTTCTTACTAGTACTCTTGCAACATTTTAAAGTCTGACTTTATTTCAAAATAAAAAGCTGAAAAGAAAATCTTATGCTGGCTGCTCCTGTGTCTTGCCTCTGCATAGAATTTGTCCTGATACATAATCTAGGCATGTGTCTGCTTTTCTTCGTTCTTAGAAATGTTATTACCAACTCAGGACAAAGTAAATTAGAACACACTCAACTATACAAGTTCATTCGTCATCATCTTAAATTGCTGTAGATGAAATTTTCAATATCTCCCAACATTTGGGGCACAAAACAATAAATTTCAGAATTCAGAAAAATATTAGTGAGCATTATAAAATTAAATCTAATTAAAATTAGCACACCTCCATGATGTCAACCTTGTCAATGGGAACTAAACATTTTCACTGCACACAACTGTTTGGCCTCTTGACAAAAAAGAAGAAAGAATGAAAAAGAGCAGCTTCCCGTTTTCCTCTTATCCAAGCATTACCAGCCACACACGGGCAGACCGGTCCCTGGGTGCGGACGGACACCGCCATCCTCAGAGCCCCGCCCGAGCGCAGGCACACCTGTTGATGTGCCCGATGGCCGTGTTGATGGTGACGCGCGGGCCGCCGTCCTCGGGCCTCAGCACGTACGGCGGGAACACCTCGTCGTCGTCCACCACGGGCTCCAGGTCCGTCTCCCCGGTCTCAGCTGACTTGGAACATTTGTTTCTCAGGATCTGAACATTAAACAGAGCCTGTGAGGCCAGCGCCTTCCCTGCCCGATGGGTGCTGTCCCCTCTGCCCCTCAGCAAAGGCCCGCTGACGGAAACCTCTCTTCCAGACACCCTCAGTGCTCCCACGTCACCCGCTGCAGACCCTTTCTCCCCATGCATCCTTCCAGCACCCATCACGGGAGACACTCATCATAAAGGTACAGGCTTACAGTGAACTGCGCGTGCGCGCACACACACGCAATTACCGGTCTCCTTCACTAGTACAGGAGAATGCCATTCTTAAGTCACTCCACAACTCACACAATAAACCGTCACCACACTGCCCACACTAGCAGTATGCTTCCCAGGCGTTCTTCCTGAATAACCCACGTGACCATTCCCACTGTTTTATCGTCAGCTTTCCAGCGCTTTATAAAACGCTGCTGGCTCTTTGTAATTACAGGTGGGGGAGTGGGGGGAAGGTAGGTTTACAGTTGTGAGTACACAAAAGTTTACTTTTATGTTGTGATTTATTAATTACTGTATTATTTTCCATACAAACTGTAAACCTACTTTTGCCCCACCCTAATGTTCATCTTGCTTATGTACACAGTGCACATGCCGATGGAGGCCATTCTGAGTGGATAAACCTGCTTCATCTATTTCTATGTACACAGAAATAGCTTTAATTTTTGGACCTTACCTTTTCAATAGCTTTGTATGTTTTAAGGTCCTCTTCAAAACCTTTGATTTTGTCCGTATCTGCTAACATGATATAATTGGAGATTGGGGCCCTTGCTCTTCCCTTAGATTGAACATAGGATCGATATTCTGTGGGTAAATCAAAACGGACCACCAAGTTGCATTTTGGTATATCAACACCCTCTTCCACAATACTTGTTGCAATAAGCAGGTTGGTCTCATGTGCTCGAAATTTCCTAAGTACCTGAAAAAAAATCCACCAAATAAAAGCAATTCTAAAAAATTTCCCCCGAAAAATGTAGTAAAAGTGACAACCGTCATTTCTGACATATACTCTGGGCCCGCTAAACTTTTAAGACCAAGCTAAGGAAGATGACATCCAACAAAATTCATGCTGCATGAACACATGGGCAAAGAAATTCTGATTTAACAAGTTTTCAACTGAAGATGATTTGAGAAATCAAAGTGTCTTTCAACTTTAGAGAGTGTCCATGCACAAATCACAGGAAGCCTCAGGGTGAAGGGGCTGGCTTCTTTAATGACCACAAAGAACCCTGCCCACAAGTAACCCACTGAATCCACTTCTGACCCCACACAATGATATCATGTCTGTGAGACTGTGCCAACTTCCCTCCAAAGATGTCAGAATTCACTAAAATCCCTCAATCAGATGAAATTAAAAATTACAAGCAAGGCATTCTTTATTTTACGGAATCATGCAGAAATTAGAGTCCCATATAATAAAGAGCTAGTATGCTAATTAGACCGAACAGCAGAACAACTGTCCAGACAACTGTCTGGATGACCTTGCAGAGGGCTGGCAGAGGCAGCCAGCTGCGAGGGCCAAGCCTCCTGCACAAATTTCGTGCACTGGGCCTCTAGTTAAAAATGAAAGTGAAAACTTTTTTCTTCTTAGATTTAAAATAACACCATTTCCCAATTCAGGATAAGTTAAATAATAAAGTAAATTTGGTTTTAGATAGATCTATCAGCCTCTGGCCATCGGACTCCCCAAATGGAATATTAGCAAAGCTATGACATAGAAAAGGTATCAATGTGAAAGTAAAATGGTTGACAGCAAATAAGACACAAACCGGTTTACAGGACAATTCTAATACTGAGTTTGTGAATCAGACACAACCGCCTCAGGAGAAGTCGTGCGTGCACAAGCTCCCTGTCTTCCTGGGAAAGCCTGGGTGCATGCAGAGGGGCGTGCCTACGAGTGTACGGTGTGTTCTGAGAACTGCCACCGGGGTTATGTTAACGTAAGTCACCTCTTCCTGCTTCCGGAATTCTGCTTCCATCTGCTTGTTGCGAGGCTGGTTCTTCCCGATGCCGTGTCCGGTTATGAAGTTGCTGCTGATGTAAGCCAGCTCCGGGTCCTGTTTGCCAGCTTCCTTTATCAATCTAAGAAAATCATACACATGTTGAAGTTAAGCGTTGGCGAGAGGGAAATTTTAGACCTTGTTTGTAAGGTCTCCCTTAAAATGGAAATGCGTGTCTTTTTTGCCCATACACCTAACCAAGTGCCATCTTCCCGGGAGCTGACGGAGCCCTGCCACTCCTCACTGACAGGTCTGTGGGCCCAATTCATGTACCACAACCACAGGCCGCGACCGATGCAGCCTGATGGACACGGTGGTCACAGCGCCTCCAACTCCCTCATTGGGGGATGACTTAACAGCAGTGTGGCCGAAGGGCCAGGGCCAGAGCCGGCGGAGACAGCAGTTCCTCCTCCACCGCAGCTGCAGGCACATGCACCGCTCTGGGCGCGGGACACCAGGGGCGGCAGCCAGCCTAGTGTCCGTGGCCACGCTCACCCTGCGCCACGGGAGAAGCTCGCAGCGAAGGAGCCTGGGCAGGCCTTCCGCCTCCCCGCACCTTGCACCCTGGGAGCAGAGCTCCAGGAGAGGACACCTGCTCCTAACCCCACTGCCCGGCCCCAGCACAGCAGCCAGACCGCATCCCACCCTCGGAGGAAGGAACACGCCGTGGCCTGCTCCTCGCATTCCCCCCGGGTGCCCATGCCCTCTGTGCCCATCCCTCAGGCCGGCCTCCTGGCGGGGCAGGGAAGAGCTGGGCGGAGATCACGTTACACGTACAGAAGGTGAGCACTAAGCACGGCCATTACAGCTATTTTGGAAATATCCACATCCAAAACTCAGCACAAGGATAAATGGTTCCACACCTGACGTAAGTGGTTCCACATGGTTCTTCTGAAGTCACACAACATAGCATAAATTCCTAATAGAAAATTGCATTTTTAAGTCGAACCATTCTTTTTTTCCTTTTCTAACTACATGAAACAGACTAATATCAAAGGGCTGGAGAAACTCGGAGGGCCATCTAGAATATCCCGCTGCTCCCATCAGCACAGCCTGGATGCCCAGTCAGTCTGGGAGCCTGCCCACAAGCCTAGCACTGAAACGTGCAGAATCAGAAACATTCTTAGCGCATCGAAGCTTTGTTCAGTTATTACAACTGATGACATCTGTAACACAGAGCAAGGCCACGTGCACAAACAGCAGACCCACATCTAAAATATGACATTATCCTAGAAATGGGAGCTTCCAAATTGAAGCTTATGTACGCAAGCACCAACATGAATGCATCAGAGGCAGGAACAATGCTTTGCAAGTTACTCCGAGGAGGCGGAGTGCTTCCCTTCGCCAGGCCATCAGCCTGGCAGACTCCAATGAGCTGCGGGACAGAGGCATGGTGAGTGGCTATTCCTCCTAATGACGCCCATCGATGCTGCAGAGAACAGGAGACACTGCATGTGCATTAAACAGCTCTCAGTGCGTAACAATTAGAAGCGCTCTGCCTGGGCAGGGAGAGTCTAGAGAAAGAACACCTATTTCTCCCTCAGGTAAGTTGCCCAAGACGAAGCCATGGGTTTCGGAGCAACAACACAGGGCTGCTAGCAGGAGCGGGTGCAGACCAGCTGCGGAGATTCCCGGAGGAACTGGGATCACAGTCCCAGTGTCCTGCCGCCTCCTACACGGAGTCTATGCATGTAGTCCCACCAGCAAGCTGTGTGGTCAACTACACTGCCCTCCAGTGCTCAGAGCTTCGCAAACTCTCTCTAGCAAACTGGTTACTGTTTTAATTTCAAATCCACCAGAGACCAATGTTTTTGTAAAATTCCATGAAAATTGACAATTAACAAAATGAATCTGAGAAATGGTTCCTGTTGCACTACATCTGACAGACATTCTTACTACCCACACCAAGAGTCTCTTCCACTTCTTCCAAGGTGCTTCCACCTCTGCACCTCCCTCACCACGCGGGCACTGGCTGTGCAAACACACCCTGCGTGCAAATGCACTCGGCCTACCAATGACACCGGAGGCAGCACAGCCCACAAGAACCACGCAGCCACATTCTGACCACCAGGAGATGGATACACTTCTGCTGTGACCGAACATGCTAACTTACAGACAGCCAAAAGGGGAAGAATTTCATCAGAAATGTCTGCCGGGTATTGAAATATGTTGTCAATAATCCTATATAATAAAAGGATAATATGCAAATTGACCCCAATGGCAGAATGATCAATCGTTATGACACGTACTGACCACCAGGGGGTAGACACTCCACACAGGAGCTGCCCCCTGGTGGTCAGTGCGCTTCCACAGGGGAGCGCCGCTCAGCCAGCAGCCAGCTCATGGCTGGCCAGTGCAGTGGCGGTGGCGGGAGCCTCTCCTGCCTCTGGCAGCGCTAAGGATGTCCGACTGCCGGCTTATGCCCGCTGATCATGGGGAGTGGGCCTACGCCATCAGTCAGACATCCCCCGAGGGGTCCCCTACTGCGAGAGGGCACAGGCCGGGCTGAGGGACCCCCCCGAGTGCATGAGTTTTCATGCACTGGGCCTCTAGCACCTTTGATACTATCCTTACTCTTTATATTTTCTTATCAAAGTGAGAAAATCAAATGTAACTCCTGTGTGATCTTACTAAAAAAGAATCACTGATAGTTATAACACAGTGACGCTGTATTCCCCAGGTGTATGCAGGAAGAGCATGAGGAATTAGCACCCACTGTGTATCAGGTGACAAAACAGCCATTTTACATACAATGTCCAATGGAGAGAGAGCTATTGCTGCTGTTGTACAGAGAAGAGGCTGAGGCACGAGAACTTTCACAAACACACTCTGAGTGGGTAGAAATAAGGAGCAGAGCCCTCCGGGGAAGGATGTCTGTTCTGCAGGGAAAGCAGGGGCAGGACAGAGGTGGGCACGGAGGAGCGTCAGACACGAGGCTGTGCTCACACAGAGGAGGCGGCCCACCAAAGGAACAGGAGCCACCCCCTAGGCGCGGACCACGTGAGCAAAATGAACGGCCTGCTGCTAGGTTACAGCCCAAGGCAGAGAACACACAAACGCGAGTCCATGCTGACTGAATAAACACAAACAGGCCAACAGGCGAACAGGGACCTGCTTTCCTGAGAGAATCCCAGTAACTGACAGAGAAGCCCGTCTCCGGGGCTGAGCTCAGCCCTCCCCCGGAGAAACGGGACGGGGGCATGCTTCCAAAGAATCACGGGAGAAAAGGCCAGAGACGGACTGTGGTGAAGCCCGCAGAACCAGGGAGCCGGGTGGCCAAGTCTAACATCACTGTGTGTCCATGCTGCCGTCACGAACACTCACACCAGGGGAAGGCACGTCATCTCTGGGGTAGCCTTTCACACCCTGAACCCCAGTCTGACACCGAGAACCATGTCAGACAAATTCAGACTGAGAGGCATTCTACAAACGCCCCACTGGACTCTCCTCAGGACTGCCAAGGTCATCCAAAACCAGGGAAGACCGAGAAACCGGAACAGACCAGACTGGGGAGACATAGCAAGTAAATGCATTAAAAAGAGGGTATTCACAGGAAACCCGGTGAAATTCACATAAAGTCTGAGCTTCTGGGTGTGACAGTGCACCATGATAACATAAGATGTTAATAGCATGAGGGGAAAGCTGGGGGCGGGGGTGGTACAGGGGAACTCAGCACTGTCTTTGCCAACTTTTCTGTCAACAGGTTATTAGGGAAGTGGGGGGGGGGGGTGTAAACCCAGGTTTGTCCGATGTCACGCAAGATTGGGAAGTTATCCCACAAGAGGCAGCGGCACATCAAAGGAGCACAGGGCACTAGATAACAGGTCTCTGTTCTCCTGTCTGCATTTCCTGAATCAGCATGGACTCATGTTTGTTCATGAGGCTGTGACTGACTAGGTTATTCGCTGTGCGGCTCACAGGGAAGCCGTCTCTGCTCTTCCTGTCGGGGTTATTCCGGGAGCCACTGAGTCTGTCTCCTCGTCTGTCTCATTCTCTACCTTCCCCTCCCCAGGTGCTGTGAAGGTGAAAAATACAGAGATATGAAGATAAATTATAAGCCCTACATACAAGGCAGAAAGAGAACTATAACCCAGACTGCGCAGACCCCCTCTGCACACAGAAGCGCTGTGCTTTATTCTCTAACAGGGATGGGAGAGCCGCCGTGTGCTCCAATCGCTTCAGCCCACGAACTGGCCACTGAGAACGGGCTTTCCCTCCCGCAGGTCGAGGGGAGGGAAGGATCTGGGCTTGGGAAGTTTTTCCAGGCTTATTAAAAACTGGAACAAGCCCTCTATTGTACATTCAATTAGCCGCCCATAAGGTCAGCCCTCAAATCGCTCTTGATTCATCATCCGACACTACATTCCAGCCACACTTTATGAGAGCTGATCACAATTACTCCGATCCTCCCGGCAAGAGGAAGCCACGGCTGGTTGTGGATAAGCCTCCTCAGTGAGGCCTGCAGTGAGGCCTGGCCCACCCCACACCTAACAACACGTGCAGAGGAGGCCCCGCTTCTTCTCCCAGCCCCAGAAAACGTAATTCTTAAACCATCTTGCAAAAGGGGTGGGGGCTGTCTCTACCCACTCAGAGCTGGGCCAGCAGCAACCCCTCCGCCCGCTGAAGGCCTTCCTCCCATCCGATCCCAGCAGCCGCCCTCCTGGCAGCCTGCCCGCCTGGGGCGAGGCCATCAGCCCGGCATGCTGGGGCGCCCGGGCCTGTGCTGCAGAGGGAGCTGGAAACCAGCAGGCAGGACATAGGCTCCTGGCATTGTCTGTCAGGGACCAGCAATGTAGCGCAGAGCAAACCACTCCCCCCGAGGCCTTCTCTCTTTTACAGAAATAAGTGGCTGGAGTGGGTGGTCAGAAGCCCCTTCCCCACCTTAGCTCCTGGTTTGGTGCTCACTCCCTGAGCTGCTCTGCGGCTCCTTGCAGGATCGGCCCAATGACGCTGAGAATTACCAGACTGAGCAGCACCAGACGCGGCCCCGGGGGCCAATTGCTCCTTCCTCAGCTACGTTTTCAAAAACCCCACACCAGTCAGAAGCAGTTTGGAAAGAAAAGAATCTGAAGTCGCCTTAGGAAACAGAGCTTAGTTTCTCCGCAGAGCTCACTGCCGGCAGGAAGGCTCTGAGGGACCGGCGTGAGCCAATTAAGGGAAGTCACAGGAAGGAGCTGTCTGGAGCACAGTCAGGGCCTGGCCCTCACAATACAGCACCGACCACAGAGGAGGAGACCGGGCTGTGCCCACCGGACCAGCGATGCCAGCGCCTGGGGGTGCGTGCGGGAGGCCCAGCTGCTCCCCAGGCGGGTGCAGGCCGGGGCCCGCCATCTCCTCTGCCATGTTCTCCCAGTGCTTCCCTGGCACCTTATCCTCTCCCGACTCAGGAAATTCACTAATAGTCCACGAACTAACCCACATGTGAGTCCAGTTGTTCCAAACCTTTTCCACTGGAAACGTGAACTGACACTCTACGGGGGAAAAGCTAACATAAAATTAGACATTCACCCACCGATGCCCTTGGGGACAGAGCTGGCTGAGAGTGCTGACCGCCGCCCTCACACCTGGCACAGGACAAGGACTGTCTGGACAGACCCACCAGCTGAAGCAAACCAGGAGGCCTTGCTTTAACTCAGCTTCCTGTGCCGCTCTCCACTCAGCTGGGGGGGAGAGGGGGGAGGTTTGCATCCTTTCGGAGAAACCCTCAGGGCTGGGAAATCGGCCTTTTGGGGAAGCTCTGGGCACTCATGCCCCCTGCAGCCCTGCCAGGCACCGAGGTGAGCGGGCCGCGGGGATGGTGCCAGGGGACACGGCCGTCGCCCCTGCAGCTCTGGCCCCGCCTGGCTCTGCTCGGGGTGTTGGCGTGGAGCTCACCGGTTTAAGACGACCGCCGTGTATCTCCTCTCCACGAAGATGATCCCGCAGAGAATGTTGGTGAAGGGAGAAGGGAAGTTGGTCTCCGGCTTCTCCTTCTCCTCAATCTCCTCATCCTCGTCCTCGTCCTCGGAGTCGCTCCAGGACACGTAGTTGTCCTGGTTGCGGTTGTTGTACCACTCCACGCTCTCGAACTGCTGCCGCTCGTACGGCTTGTACTTGCGCAGGATCTCCAGCAGCTTGAGCACCTTGGGCGTCACAAACTTGAGGTCCAGGGAGGCGGGCGAGAAGTGCTCCTCGCACAGCGCGTGGATCTTCCGCAGGAACGTGTCCGTGAACAGCAGGAACTTCCTGTGCAGCTCCTCCTGCTCGTGCTTGATGTGCTTCTGCAGCTCCCTGACCATCATGCCGGCCACTTTGTCCGCACACCAGGGGCCCAGCACCACCAGCACCGCGCGGCAGTCCGCCAGGATCTGCCAGAGAGCATAGAGACCAACGTTAAGCAGTGATCACGTAGCCGTCCCCTCGGAGGGTGAACTGGGGCTTACACTGTCTTCAAATAAACGTCCCCCACATATTCCTGTGAACACTCAGGTTAATGCCCCACAGTTGGGGCCAGGGCCTATCATCCTTCCAAGCTCTATTTTTTTCACACACACACACACACACAATTTCATTCACACACACATTTCACACACACACATATTTCATACACACACACATTTCACACACACACACATATGAACCATTATTTTGTTTTTCCCAGCAAAAATAATCAAATAATAGCCGAAAACCAGTTTGGCTCAGTGGATAGAGCATCAGCCTGCGGACTGAAAGGTCCCAGGTTCCATTCCGGTCAAGGGCAGGTACCTTGGTTGCGGGCACATCCTCAGTAGGAGGTGTGCAAGAGGCAGCTGATAGATGATTCTCTCTCAATAATGTTTCTAACTCTCTATCCCTCTCTCTTCTTCTCTGTAAAAAATCAATAAATATATAAAAAATAATCAAATAGATATTAAAAGATGCAATTGTATAAAGAGAATGAAACTTTATTTTAGATCTATGGTTAGCTAGGACAACTGAGTCACTTGTTTCCAAGGAACTATATAAGGCCTCCACAGGGAGCCATCTTACTTTAGGTATCAAAGAGCAGACGATTGTCCCGTTGCTCTATGCCAGGAAACCACCCCTGACAGCCCCAGCTCAGAGCAGAATGTCCGTCCACAGCGAGTGACTGGGGAGCCTCTGCAGGCGAGTAAAGGACAGACAGGGTGAACACGGACTTCGTGACAATGCAAGGGCTAAGGAGAGTCTGGGCATTACTGCTTCAGAAAAAACCAGCACGAGGGAAATTAAGATGCAGAGGTCGCAAAGTCCTAGAACAACGGTCCTCAAGTTTTAATGCATCAGGCTAACTGGATGGCCTGTCAAGCTCAGCCTTTTTGACCCACCCCATTACAGACTCCGCAAGTCAAAGGTGAGCCCATAATGTCCAGGGGGTGCTGGTCTGGGGTCCCTACTTTGAGAACCACTATCCTAAGGATCTCTTCTCAAAGCCGGATCCCATTCAGAGATGGCGAGCTCATATCCAGTTACACACAGGGAACAGCAGAAGAATTTGTTTAGCCAAGGGATCTGAGCAGTGCTAACTCATCTGAGCAAGAAATGAGAAAACTGGGCTCATTCCTTTATTCAACAGCCATGGCGTGAACCTCCTAAGTCATCTCTTACACCAGGGAGGGCTATACTTAACAGAAATGTCTGTCGGTAGTAGTAAACTCAGCCCAGGATGTGTTTGATACATGTCCAAAGAGATAAGGTCAAGGCCTTAGATCACATGTGTCAAACACAAGGCCCGCGGGCCAAATCTGTCCCGTCAGGCCTTGCAATGTGGCCCGCACCGCGCTGTCATCACTGCACTCCGCTGCGTTTCCATCACAATGACAGTTTATGACTGTTCAGTAAACCATTCGGCCCTCGATTTAGGCTGGATTTTAGATTTTGGCCCCTTCTCTGATTGAGTTCGACACCCCTACGCTTAGATTAAAAGGTATAGAAACTATCCTCATTAGAAACATATTTCCATTTCAATACTAAAAGCAAACAGAAGCCTTTTATTATATATTCTATACTTACTCTGCAAATGCTCACCTGTTTAGAAATTAAAGTAGAATCTCTTTCTTTTGAATGTGCAGATATGTTACAGTCATTGACAAAGTCAAGTGCTTCCTCTAACTCCATCAGCAGTCGCTCATAAAGCCCACTTCTGTCCACAAATGGCCCACAGTCCACCACAATCTCATACGGCTGAGACGTGTATCTTTAACGGGAGAACAGAGGTTGTCAATACCGCAGCAATGCACTACCTCACTATACCAAGCAAGAAACTCCCTGTGCTCAGCCTGCACACCTACTGGGACAGCAGGCCGGCTCACAGCCTCCTGAAGTATACTCCCTGTGTCCACACTGTGTGTTTGCCTGTCAGGGCTCAAGGAATGACTGCAGGAAGCTGACAGTCAAAGGATCTTGTAAATTCACTTTTATGCCAGGTTTTTTATTTTGTTTTCTTAGGTTTACACTTTCATCTTTGCCCCCTTAGGAATAATGTTGGTCAAAATACTCAGAAACGCAACGCGGCACTTTTCAGAGGCAGAAATGAGGGATGGAGGCTAGATGGTAGGGAGAGTGTTTATTAAATGAATCCACTTCCACTCTAGTTGAAAGGCATAGCATTTGCAAATGTCAACTTTGCTTTTTATGTGTTTTATTACGCCTGATATAGGGAAAGCTTCCCCCAACTTCCAGTCAATTACAGCATCATTCATTGGATCTTTCACAACGTGACAGAGTAGCACATACTATTCTAAAAGCACATATAATAATTAAGGAAAAAATATAGTGAGGACATTTTTAAATCCTAGTTTTCATTATTCTTAACCAGAATTTATACCGAACAAAAGAGCCACATTTAGAAAAGTAGGCAATGCCAAACCCAACAGATCACCTGTCAGTTTTTACTTAAAAGCTCTAATACCTTTACTCTCCTTTTGTGGTACTGGCCTACCAATCTAATTGAAACTGGATAAAAGCAACTTCACTGCTACATCAAAGATCACTTTAGCTCAGAGGAGTAAAAATTAACATCTCCTAAAGGTTATGAGGTCTGTATGGCATTTGGATACCTAAGTCCTATATACCCTGAAACGTTACCTTTTATTCTCATTCTACAAAGAGAATTTTCCAAAATTCTACTAAACGCCAGGCACACTGCAAGGTGTTTTCTAGGTGTCTACGTAACTAATCCTCCAAGGATCCCCTGAAACCACTGCCTATGCCATTTTACAGATGCAGGAACAGCAAGTGACCGGAAGTCACACAGCTTACAGTTAGTGGAGCCAGTATTCACAGCCCATGTTGGATTTAAATCCATAGTCTGAGAATAATGAAAACGGTAGCACGTATGTATGTCTTTACTTGTTAAAAGACTCTATCTGGCCGAAACCGGTTTGGCTCAGTGGTAGAGCGCCGGTCTGCGGACTAAAGGGTCCCAGGTTCGATTCCGGTCAAAGGCATGTACATTGGTTGTGGGCACATCCTCAGTAGGCGGTGTGCAAGAGGTGGCTGGTCGATGTCTCTCTCTCATCGACATTCCTAGCTATCTCTCTCTTTCCCTTCCTCTCTGTAAAAAAAATCAATAAAATATATATTTTTAAAAATAAAAGACTATATCTGATAGGAATATAAAGGTATTTTAATATGAATGAAATTTGTCTCATTTACTTAAAAACCTTGTTTATACAGGCTCCCTTCCATGAACTTACATCAAAATTTGTGTGTGTGTGTGTGTGTGTGTGTTTTAATGAAACTCAAAATAGCAACCTTCTCAAAGAGACGAGCCTAGAACTCATTAGCATCTTTCTTAGAAATACATCACCATTTTCAAAACCACAGGGAGCTTCCAATTATTTTAAAGCATATTGCAAAACACTGACTTCTCTAAGCAATGTTCTCGCAAACCCTCACATTTCGGTCAGAAGAACAAAGCGCACACGTTGATAGAAAAGAACAGAAATTCACTATCCCGTCCCCATCAGCAGCTCTGGAGGGCCGAGGCTCACGCCATCTTCTCTCCAAGGCAGGAGCCCTCCTCTGTCTCTCTGGGAGCGGTGACACCTGCCCTCCGAAGCACTGTCCTGGCAGAGAACTCTGTCTCTGATGCAGGCCCGTCCTGGGAGGCCCGGAGGCTTCCATTAGAGCTAGCGGGTCTGACACACCGAGTCCGGGGAGGGCGTACCTGTCTAAGACCACCAAGTCAGTTGCAGTTTCCGCGTTACTCTTAAGAATTTTCTCCAGTTTCTGAATCTTTTCTTCTAATTCCTCTGGATCACATTTCCCATTTAAAATGGAAGCAGTTAGTCCCAAAATACGAGGGCATGATGGACAACTTTCACAGAGCTAACACGATACAAGATACTAACGGTAAGAAACTCATTTTGCAAGGCCATAACAAAAAAGGCATCACCATATTAAAACATGTCCAAAAAACTGACAAACCAAAAAATATTACTTACAGAATTATGGTAGCATGCTTAAAAGTTCCATTTATCACAAAGGCAGATTTGTTATGCTTAAATTTTAATTATAGATTTAGTTTCATTACAGATTATTTATTATAACTTATTATTAACTATAAATGTAAACGAACATTAATATGTATTCATACACTAGAATCAAGATCTCGAAATTAGTAACTAATTGCTTTGATATATAAAAACACTGCTTGTACTCATTAATTTGAACTAAATTATTAAAACTGATAAAATATAAAAACTTACCTTCATAATTTCTCGATATGGGTGGTCTAGGATTGCAAGGTGACATTCATCAAATACCAAAAGGTTAATGTCTGACAGTGACAAGTAACCATTTTTCAAAACAATCAAGGCGACATAGCAAGTCATAATGAGAACCTAAAATAAAATTGACATCGCCGTGAACAAATGTACCATTCACCCAATGAGATGCACTTACATGACAGGAGGTTATGGAGCCATTGTCCTGAAGGGAAGAACTAAGAAATCCGTAAGTCAAAATTAAACAAAAATTCTACATGTGCCAAAACCGGTTTGGTTCAGTGGTAGAGCGTCAGTCTGCGAACTGAAAGGTCCCAAGTTCGATTCCAGTCAAGGGCATGTACATTGGTTGCGGGCACATCCCCTGTAGGGGGTGTGCAAGAGGCAGCTGGTCAATGTTTCTTTCTCTTTGACGTTCCTAGCTCTCTATCTCTCTCCCTTCCTCCTCTCTGTAAAATATCAATGAAATATATATTAAAAAATAAATAAATAAAATAAAATTAACAGGATATTAATTTAAAAAAAAAAATTCTACATGTAAGGGAGGCTCATACTTTGGAACCAAGAAGTGGGATTAGGAAAACATGACACAGACTATGAAGAACAATTCTCCCACAGAGACCATGTTTTGATAACTCTTTTAAATCTACTTCAGGTCCCCACAGCTGTGTTTTGACTGAGACCTGCCAATTTAATCAAATCACAAAACAACTCAGTTTCCCCCCACCCCACTGAACTGACAAAATTTTCCAAAAGATGACACAAACAAAATGTGTTTTTTCCATTTAATTCATCCTATTTTATTTTTTTCCGTCACCACGCATACCCCCAACCCTCTTCCTCCTCCACCCACTTCTTCCCCACAATCACCCCACGGCTGTCCTGTCCCTGAGCTTTCTGCTGTTTGCTCAACTCCCCCCACTCGCCTCCCCCGCCCACCACCACCACTGGAGCGGTCTGCCTGCTCTCCATCTGAGTCTCTCTATTTGCTTGTCAGTGCATTTTGTTAATCAGATTCCACATATGAGTGAGAGCACTGGTACTTGTTTTTCTCTGACTGGCTCATTTCACTTAGCATAACATCCTCTAGGTCCATCCATGCTATTGCAAAGGGTAAACTTTTCTCTTTTTTACGGCTGTTAAATGTTCTTTTTATAGATTATCATTCTGTGGACTCTGAAGTGCTTTTTCAATATGGACTGAACCCAAAATGTGAGACACACTAGCAGACCGTATGAAGGCTGCTAATGGTTAGTTAGGAAGCCGCTTTTGACCACTTTGTGCCGCACCAGCACGGCCAAGGGTGATCCCGAGGGGGCGGCTGAAAGGCCTAGAAAAGACAGAAAAGGGAATGGAAGCTGGGTCTCGGTGGGACGCTGCTTCTCTGACGGAGAGACAGCGCCAGCGCCCACAAGCCGTGTCTTTATTTTATAGCAGATGCCTAGGGCAGTGTTTCCCAAACTACTCTCAGGATGAGAATCACCTGGTGGAGTTGTTAAACTACAGATTCCTGAATCCCAACTAAGAAGTGCTAAACTAGAATTTTGGAGAACATACAGGTAAAATTGTACACCTAACTAGTGCTCTGGAGTTTTCTTTCCCTTAGAGCACTAGTTAAGTGTACAATTTTACCTGTATGTTCCCCAAAATTCTAGCTTAGCACTTCTTAGTTGGGATTCAGGAATCTGTAGTTTAACAACTCCACCAGGTGATTCTCATCATGAGAGAAGTTTGGGAAACACTGGCCCAGAGGCAAAGGAAGCGCGTGGTCAAGATGTATACAACATTCACGTGGGTTTCAATCCTATTCAACTACATGCACCTGGGGCCACGTGTTGGGACCACAGGTTCCAGCTGACAACCACAGCTGCCGGCTATCATGGTGTGGAGGCTCTGCCCTCCAGGCTGGGACGTGCACGTGGCCATGGAGGACCTTGCCCTCTCCTCAGTCCAAGGCTGGAACCTGTCCAGACACGGTGGCCGCTCTCCACATCACTCAGATCCACCAACACGCTCAGCGCAGAAGACCCTCAGCACATGCTGGCGGAAGGCCACGGTGAGGAGAGGAAGTCCATCAAAGACCCAAAGAGCTCCACCGAGAAGCGGCTCCAGTCTCAGACACTCTGCTCAGAGCACACTTCCTGAAAGCCTTATCTGCGCGTTGGAGAGTGGGGATTGGCTCCCCCAGCAAGTAACCACACTACGATGTCAGAGCTACACCCGCAGCAGTTCATTCGGTTCTGCGGTGAGACCCAGAGACAAAGGTGCTGCTTTCTGGGCCCACAAGCACAGGGAGGAGGGTTTTCAGACAGCCAAGGCTGCAGGGCATCTTCCTAACCACACCGGGGCGTGTCGGGGTTTACAGGGGAAATGTCTCTGCAAGTCTTACCTGGTGCTTAGCGAACTCCTGGTTCCATCTCTCTTTAGTCCAAGAGGCATGTACTTCTAGGTGTGCGTATTCGCCAACTTTGAGGTCTGAATGAGTCCTGACAGCTGACACTTGCTGAGCAGCCTGGTTTGCTGGTTACAAAGAGAAAGAGAAGTTGGCTCGAGTTGGTTGTCGGGCTGCTAATGGTTCAGACAGTGCCAGAAGCCCTTACTGTTCGGTATTACACCTAACCACCTGCATTTTAGTATTTCCAAAGTGTTCTTCTTAGACTCACCCCCTGACTGTCACTCACTTCTAAGACCCTGTATCACTTTATAGCCGATTTTCCCCAACCTAAAAATGTCACTTTTAGGCTAGAATGAGAACTACTCCACATCCACCCCTCCTGTTTTGGTCAATAAAATCAGACCGTTTCCCGAGAAACAATACAGACTACAGTGAATTTACACCAGTGAGAACACCCTACACCAAGGACATATAAAAAAGGAGGGGAATCACATGGTTGTATTAGGACGCTAGCAGCTCAGGTTCACATTTTATACGTTTATTTTAATATATAATCCCAAACACATACAACTATTTTTAACTATTAAGAAGCAACTATTTAACTTTCTTTCGACAACTGGTAGAGCATAATCATAAATCAAAAAGTTACCTATGTCATAATCAGGCACCTTTGGACATGTTTTATGAATCAAAAACAAAATAACACAACTCAGATCATGTTACAATAGTCATCCATTCAAAAGAAATGCAGAATCAAAATTAAATGCAATTACATCTAAAAGAAAAGCTAAAGTTTTACACCTATGGAATAAAACAGCCAACATTTAAAAGAAATACTACAAAGTTAAGAAGTAAGCAGCTCTGCTACCAGAATTCCAACAAGTACAATACATTGTTTGTGAAACGCTCTACATTTTCAATAATTTAACCAGTTTCCTCCATGCGATCTGAAAAAGCCTTTTGATTACCGGAGTTGACCAAGAACACCGTCCTTTTCCCATGTCGGCTGAAGTCTCCCCTGACCTGGTAGGACAGCTCTTTAGTGAGTAGTACTGCAATGAACGTCTTCCCTGAGCCAGTGTTCAAACAGACTATGGTGTTACGATCCAGAGCTGCTTCGAGCAGTTCAACCTGGAAACAGAGTGGGAAAGAAGATTACACACTTCTTATCGAAGTACAGAATTTAGAAAACGGGATTTTCTTTTAATTCAGGAAATTCCAGTATTCTAATATCTTCCTCCAAAGCATTACTTTCTGCATCTGTATATATGAATAATAACCATTAAAATGCCTGTTATTCAGAGCTATACTGTATAAAATATGTTGAAACGCATTTACAATATCCTTAAGATTTTTGCACGGACAGAATACTTCTCTAGAATTAGGTGAATGACTAAATTTATTGTAACCAGGGTTCTGCCAGTTCATAGTTGTTCAAACCAATCTCAATTCCTACCCAGCTCATGAAGACAGACACATCCAAATGGATATGAGGCTTTCAGAGGGGAGAAAATAAAGAACTTCACAAATAAAACTATCAAACCAATTACTCAGAAGATGTTAGAAAAGGATTATTAAGAACAAAGTATCTGGAATGCAAAAATTAATCAGAGGAGGAAAGCTTGAACAGGTAAAAGTTTTATTAAGTTGTGTCAACGAAATGCTAATTCATTCTGTTTTAGTGAAAACGCTCCGGTATTAGTGTTCTCATTAGTACCTGATATTTTCTTGGCGTGTAAATGTTATCATGAATTGCTTCTTGTTGCCATGGCAGTCCAAAGAAAGGACCCATTGGTGAGGAAGCAGGGGTCATGAGCTGCAGGCCTGCCATGCTGAGGGGTTGCAAAGCAGGGCTTTTCATTCATCCAGTGTTTCTTTCATTGCATTTTGTTCTAGCACAGCTTACTACAAGAGGGAAAAAGAACACCATTACACACCCATGCAGGGTTAAAACAAGAGAGCACAGAAACAAGAGAGACATCAAGTATCACCCCACGGGCCTCAGACTCTTCTGTAACCGTTTGAGCTTATCCTGATCTAAGAGGACCGTTTTTTTAAAGTCAAACATTCTATTCCCTCCAACCCATCAACCATATCCCTAGTAACTTGTCTGAAAGAATTAGACAACTGTACACACATGAAAGGACATCAGTATTTATTGCTGCATTATTACTACAAACAAGAAATAATTTTAAATGTATTAATAAAAGTTTAGCTAAGCACATTATGGTATGCCTATAATAAAATACTCTGAGTCCATTAAGATAATACACATCTACGTTTACTGACACAGAACCGTCCTTAATAGTATAACAACTCTTAAATATATGTACATATAAAACATGTAAGTATGCACATAAACATATTTCAAATGTTACTGTAAAGTCTATGAAGCTATTATTGGTAAAATAATGAGACAATGTGCAGAGGGCACTTAGCACTGTGGCTGCACAGGAAAAATCCAAATGCCTGTCCACAGCTACTTCATCTAAAGACCAAAACACAGGTCTTTTTCTCAAATAACAACCTAGCATAGATGACCAACTATTTAAATATGTATTTTTAAAATTATACATATCCTATACATTTAAGTATCAAAAAAATAATACTGCTGAAGTTAAATGAAATTATACATATCCTAGTGAGCTCAAACAAGGCACACCACTCTGAGAAAGGATCGTTTTCCATGATATCTAAGCACTCCTGTGGACCTCATGTCTTCTTCCCCAAAGGTAAATGTTTAGGTAAGTAAAACGACCAAATAAAAAGTGGGTCTTTCTAAAACACCCAGCTGCAGGCAGAAGGCTAGGGGTTCACATCTCTGGTCCGAGTCCAGCACTGGTCCTCCAGGGGCAGCAGGAGGGCGTGCCCGCAGAGGTGTTCTCCCTGTGGCTGGGGGTCCCCGCTAGTCCTTAGAAGCGGCTTTGTCCCTTGACAACCACACGCTGCCTCTCCTGACATCACAGGCTCAGTTGCTGCATGGAATCCAGCAACAAGTCTCAGACGTGGCCTTCACAGAGCACCACCCAGATGCCCATCTCAGACTGCTGCAGCTGGCCAGAGCCCACCACCCAGATGCCCATCTCAGACTGCTGCAGCTGGCCAGAGCCCACCGCCCAGGTGCCCATCTCAGACTGCTGCAGCTGGCCAGAGCCCACCACCCAGATGCCCATCTCAGACTGCTGCAGCTGGCCAGAGCCCACCACCCAGATGTCCATCTCAGACCGCTGCAGCTGGCCAGAGCCCACCGCCCAGATGCCCATCTCAGACTGCTGCAGCTGACCAGAGCCCACCGCCCAGATGCCCATCTCAGACGCTGCAGCTGGCCAGAGCCCACCGCCCAGGTGCCCATCTCAGACGCTGCAGCTGGCCAGAGCCCACCGCCCAGATGCCCATCTCAGACGCTGCAGCTGGCCAGAGCCCACCGCCCAGGTGCCCATCTCAGACGCTGCCGCTGGCCGGAGCCCACCGCCCAGATGCCCATCTCAGACGCTGCCGCTGGCCGGAGCCCACCGCCCAGATGCCCATCTCAGACGCTGCCGCTGGCCGGAGCCCACCGCCCCCGGGCACAGTGCGGGCCTGAGGAAGCAGAAAGGGGCGCTGGGCTGCGGGGCCAAGGACTCAGCAAGGCTTGCGCCATCTGTGGACCAGACAGCACCACCATCTCATTGGCCTTCTGGCGAGCAGAGAACCGAGCACATCATGGAAAACTACCAAGCCATTCTTCTCCCGGATCAAAGGAACACTCTGCTCAGCACCGCTGAGCGAGCCGGAGCCCAGCAGCCACTCCGTCCACCCACACCAGGCGCTCACTCCCTCATTCCGCAGGCCCAGCATGCACACCCTCAGCTTCATCCTTCCCGCTTTTTACTCAGCACCGCTGCCAAGAATCCAACAGGAAAACCCTCTTTACCCAACTTCCTGCGGCCCACAGGTCCCTCTGAAGGCCAAGGCTAGCTCTGCGGGCACCGCCCACCGGGCTGCCTTCGTGGGATCCCCATACTCCTGCTTCCTGCAGGCAGGCCCTTCCTGTCTGAGGTTATGTGCGCTTAGGCCTGACCCCTCCCTTCTCACCAGCCCAAATCACAGACTAGTAGGAAGTATCAGGAAACAAGACTAACCCCGGGGGAGAATGGGGAAAACAGGAAAAAGAGGACAATGTTTATGAAACCCCAAGTGCACCTTCCCACCAGTACAGCCAGGAACCCGCTGGACCCTCCTCCCTACACAGCTGCATGCCACCGTTTCTTCTCAGATGACAGTCATTACAATTAATAACGCCAGGAAAAACTGTCCACAGACAAATGAGAAGAACGTTCCATTTCTTAAAAAGCGAGGTCTGTATTCGTCAAAAATATATCATAAAATACAAGAAAAAAAATAAAGAAAATGTTCCAGATTAAAGAAGACTGCGAAAGACAGGACAGCAAACTGCAGACATGAATCTCCTGTGTCCATGGCAGATCGCACACACAGCCCACTCCGCGCCGCGGGAGCAGCTGCGGGAGGCAGCATGACTCGCTGACGCTGGCGCTGCAGACGCTCTGGCTCCGTGCGGACGGCCTCATTCCCAGGAAGCACACTGCAGGACCTCGTGGTAAAGGCCAGGCTGTGTGCCACTCACCCTCCAATGGTTCAGAGAGAAACCAGGGGCAGATACAGAGTGTGCGCAACTGATACAGCACATGGGCAAACGGGTGAAGCATGCCTCCTTTGTCCTGTTCTTATCCTGCAACTTCTCTGAGACTGAAATTATTTCCAAATAAAGAGTTGTAAAAAGCAAATAAATATGACCAACTAAGCCAGGATTTCCGTGAGTACAGGAGCCGTATGCCCCACCCCGTGCCAGCCACGCACCAAGCACACCAGCACCCGGCCCGCAGAATGGAAACCCACCGGCCTCCGCCTTTTGTAGCGCGGACCACACGGCCATGTGCAGACAGCTCGCACTCCTCCTCCTCCTGCTGGCACACGTGCCCCCAGAGCGAGATGCTCAGCCACCCTCCAGGGCCCCGAACTCCCTGTGCAGGTCCCACGCACACAGGGAAGTGAATAAACATTCCATGAACCGACTCAGAGATGCATGATGTCCCCGCAGTAACCAGTAGAGAGAAGCACACACCATACCTAGGTAGTTTGGAGAAACTACATCTATTTGGTTTGGAAATCCACACCCGCCCGTCCCTCCCGGCCTTGAAGGTGTAACGAGAAGAGATTTGCAAGGAAATGGAGGACAGCACTTAACCCTCCAGGTATAGTTTCCATGAGGTTATAACATGTACGTTAATTTCCATTCCTGTAGGACACAGGGCCCGCCCAGCAATACACTTCCTAGTTAGGGAAAGCAGAACCAAGATTTAAAAATTCGCCAGGTAATCCAATCCTGTGGAAACAGGAAAACCTGTGGTGTTGCCGAGTTTGCCTCTCCGTGGCGGTGGAAACACTTTCCCCCTCACTGGCCTCGGTGGAATGCGGTTCGGAGGAGCGGACTGCAGGACTGCTCTAGCAGCGCCCACAGAACGCCACGTGACCATTTCCAATCACAGATTCTACGTTTCTGGTCAAACCATGTACACTTATGAAATCGGCGAGGCTGTTTCACTGTTTCCATACAATAAGACAACTTCGCACAGCGCGCCATAAACTCGCCACTTCCCACGGGGTAAGTCGCCGGTTACCGTTTCAATGTCTGATCTGTGTTGCTGTTGTCTGAACTGCATTTTGACATGTGACAGCAGTTTACTGGAAATCACTGCATGCCCACGCTTCCACTCTAAAAACAAAGGCAAAACAGCCCACTTTAAGATCCTGCACTTAAACTGAATATAAACACGTCTTATTGATATGAAGAGCTGAATAAAGACTATTATTTTTGTATTTTGTATTAAATTTTAAACAAAAGACATTGGGTTATTTTAGGATACCAAGTTATTCTAAAACAAAGAGCAAAAGGAGGAACAATAGCAGGCCTAATTCCAGGAGATGTGGGGGAAAGAAAAACATTCAAGAAAAGATTCTAAAATGAATACAAGGAAATAAACCGAAGCAAATAAATTCTAAAGATGGAGACTAGAACAAGGAAGAAATAAGAGTAAGTGTGTGTGATTTCCTAAATTCACATGCACTAAAGA